TATTATTTATATGATTCAAAAGTCCTTTTTAATCCTGTATTATCATTAAATATGCTAGATGTAAGTTCAGCTGGAACAACATTCTATTCTAAATTTTATTCAACAAGAGTTGTTGATTCTATATATTCTTCAGGATTTAAAAACATTCCAAATATTCCTGGCCAATCTATTCTATTTTCTTCATTATAAGTGATAGTTTTTGATAAAAATAAAAGTAGCTTATCCTTATCTTATTTTTCTCCTTCAATTTTCATTGCCGGAAATATCATATCCTTCCCTTTTAGTAATAATTCTTATTATTTTTTCAATTCATACAAAGTTCTTCTATCAAAGGGTAATTATAAGTATACTAAATAGTAAACAATAACACCTAACTAAATAAATTTAAATAAAAATTACACTAAATACATCAGTTTTAGATGAATATTTACCATCATTTAAAACTTAAGGAGAAGCATAATAAGGAGTTCCGACTTAAGATTGAATTACTAATTAATTTCTTGTTTCTTTCTCTAAAATTTTACTAAATCCAAAATCTGATATCTAAAATTTATTTTTAATATTATACTTTTATTCTACCATCATTTCCTTAAAGTAAATTTTCTGGTTTCAAATCTCTATGAATTATTGAATTTTTGTATAATATACTATATCCTTAAATAATTTATGTAACCATATCAATAATCTCAGATGCAGAAAAGTATTATCTACATTAAGCTCTTGATTTAATGAATTTTTCTATGTGCCCTTGACAACATCTCTCCATAAATATGTAACAGATACTCTCATCCTTGCTCTAGAAGATATCAATAACTTTAATAATATTTGGATGCTTTATTGCCATTAGATTATTTAAAATTTTTATTTCTCTTTTTAGAGCTTCTTTATCATACATATCATCTGACATTAATCTTATTTCCTATTCTATTACTTTCATTCATTACCTTAACACATAATGGCATATCTATTCCTTCTTTTGTACATTCATATACTGTTGCAAATGCACCCCTTCCAATTTGATTTTTTCTATTTATTTTGTAACCATCTAAATCCTTTGGCAACATTTTACAAAAAATTATTTTTAATATAATAAAATAAAACTTATTGATAATTATCATTATTCTTATCTACTAATTTATTAGAAACTTTCAATTATTGTTATTAAGGATTTAAAACATTTTCAATTGAGATTTTTGTATAAATAAAATATTATATATTCATTTATGTTAAATCTTTCAAGAATTTACTTATTAACTATTTATAATTCTTTTATTTTTTTTTCTCTATTTTATTTATATGATATTTATCATAATTCCTTAAATAATATTTCAATAACAATTATATTGAATCTTTGTTGCAATTAATCTGTTAAACTAATTCTATTGATTTATTTTTTTTGAATTTTTTATCATTTAATATTGATTTCTCTTATTCTATTAATTTTTTTTTTTAATTCCAAAAGACGATCCTCATAAAATTTATTTTCAAAAAAATTATTTACTAGTTTTCACCCTTTTACTACTAAGAAACATTAAAAAATATTTATTTAATATATTTTTAATCTTTAAAAACTACTTAATAGTTTTAAATTAAGATTGAAAATTTTCTTTGATTATTGATATTCAGTTCATTATTATAAGATCTTAAAATTGATTAACTTCATACTTTATTATCGTCTTTTGAGAGATATTGTTTATTTTGAAGTTTGATTTAATTTTTAATATTAATTTATTATGATTAATTTATAAACTTGTTAATTTATTTATTGCTTCATCACAAATTACTATTCTTCGATTTATTATTATTTTTCCCTAATAATTTTTAAAGGATGAAAAATTTAATTAAGAATCATCATTATCAGCTTTCTAAATAAAGTGCTTATCCCAATATATAATATAAGTTATTATTTTAATACAAGATAACGAAAATTGAAATAAATTGTTTTATGATATTGTTAAAATAGATTAAGAATAAATTCTTGAACTTTAATTGTTTTTAAAATACATATTCTATATTTATTATAACCCTCTACCTTATCTTGTAATTACTCATTTCAATAATTAAACTTTTTTTTTATTTAAATATTCTATTTAAGCTTAGTATTAATCATTATTTATTTTTATCTAATCAACTTTATCAGTTCTTCAATATACTTTTAGTACAATTAGCTTGAATTATTTATTTTTTTTTTCTAATTTTTCACATTTTTCTTAAAGAATTTTAAAGTTTTTGTTAATAATTTCTTGAGGAAAAAAGGTTAAATTCAAATTAGGAGATTTAGAAAACAATAATTAGCTCATATAAATTTTGTAAATTATTAAATATAATATTAACCCTTATTTTAATAGAACGTCTTATGAATATCTGCTCAATTCTCACAAACTTTGATCTATAATATCTGTTCGAAACAGTTACTATGATTAAATTCTTATTAGAATTGATTAAATTTCAATTTTTGGCTCTGATCAATAATAATAAAAAATTAGACTAAATTAGAAAATAATGGTTTTTAAATTATTTATGGTATTTTTATATAATCATTTGCTTAATAGGAATAAATATACCACATTTTGAATCATTTTTACAAATTAATATTAACCTAAAACCTAAATAAATTACATATTAGTTTTGTTTAATTTATAAATGAATTCACAATTTATAATTATAAATATCATTATCATTTTATTTTATAAGCTAATCTCACTTCATTATTTAAATAAAAAACTATTTGAGTGACATATTTCCTAAAATAGGTTTGTTTAGAATGTAGAACAATTTTATATATCTTAAAAAAGCTAAAAAAGAGAATCTTTATTAAGTATATTTAATTTACATTCTTTACACATAAAATTGGTAAATTATAAACGGTATTAGTTTGAAAACTTGAAAAATATCAATGAAATATTATGAGGTATATCTAAATGAAAGCAACTATTCAAAATTATAAAAATTATGTGAATATAATAAATTTAAATTATAATAATCATTTATCGTATTTTGTCGGTGAAGATTGTTCAGTTATTTACTCTTTAGTTCTCCTTCTTCTTAAGATGGTGCTTTAATCTTTAGATAATTTGATTTATTACCAATTGATTTTAAGGATAATCTTTTCTGATAATAATTTATTTGATATTTTATTGTTTTATTACCAGTTATCATAGGTAAAGTTGATAAATTATTGGTATCACCATTTTTTAAGTCCTTCTTATTTGAAATTTTCTATTGAGTGCATCCCATATTTATATCTGAAATTTAATTTAATTAAAAATATACGAATAAATAAAATGGGATTGATAAAAAAAGATACTAATTTCATAATTATTAACAGGAAGTTTTATATCCATTTTTATTACTCTTAATAATCAGATTTATTAAATTATATATATTCTGTAAATAATATAAAATCAATCTTCATTTTGATTGACATTTTATCCTTAAAGACAACTAAATAAGTAGTAAACCATTATCTGAGAACATTATTTTTATCAATTTCATTAAAGATATTGAAATAAGTTTACATAATTTTGCTTATTGATTTTTTAGAATATTTATATTAAAACTATTATTTCATATTATTTAAAAGCTAAAATAATTGATTAAAATTTTATAATGCAATATTTGATGCTATCTCTGTAGATTGAGTTAAATTTTAAAATTGAACTATTGTCTATGTTTTATATACCCTTATTGTCTAAGTTAAATAAACTGGCATTATTTTAAATTTAAAATACATTGTTTCTTGTAATTACCTATATTTACAATCTTTAATCAAAATTGTTCTTTTCTCTCTTATAAATTTAATTATTTAGATATACTTTATTTATTTATAAAGCTATAAACGATTTTAATTGATTATTATTAGATAATTTATGATTTAATTTATTCACTTTTTTCTAATTTATTTTCATCACCTATAAAAATCTTTAATTCTAATTTGTTTGTATACAATCAATTTTTCCTAAAATTAAAATGTATTTATAAAAAGGTAAGTTTTAAGTCTACATCTGTTATAAGCCAATGATGATTTGAATCTAAAGGGCTTGGTCCTATTGCAAAAAAATTATTTAATTGATTAAATTTAAAGTTATAAATTTTTACACAAGAAAGTTTCTCTATCTTTCCATTCTCTTTAAATTTTTAATTAATTTATTCGTACAATCCTAAGGTAGTAATTCATTACAAGAAACTATGCAAAACTGATTAAGTTTAATGTAAATTAGTTTACAGAAAATCATCTATTACCATCATTCCATTTTTATAACAAATATTAAGTTAAAATGATTAATTTTTAATTAATTTTATTTCTGATTTATTATTTAATTTGTTTGATTCTTCCTATTTAAAAATATTTTTATGTATGATGCTTGTTAAATTTAAAAAAATATTTTTAATTCTTTTACTTGTTTGCTTTTTATTGGCTTTAACTCTATTTATTTCTAAAATCACTTTTTTGACTATAATTTTTAATTTTTTCTAATTCTTCTATATTCATTAAAATATTTCTGTTTTATGTTGTTTTGTTTGATTAAAATAAATACAAATCTTTGAATATTTTTAAGCAAAGTTTTATTCGATCGGTTTAATTATCTTTTTTACAATTAAAACACATTGATGTTAATTACTTTTTTACAAATTACATATGAATATTTCTATTAGTTATTTTTTTATTATTCTTTTTACTAATACACCTTTTATATCAAGTCTAAATTATTTTATCATATTAAAACTTAAGGAATTGTTTGAGAACTCAATTTGTACTGTAACTCAATTCATTATAGCTATTATTAATTTCTAAATTACATTTACAATTATTTAAATAAAAAATAGATATTTACATTATACAAAAATCGAAAATATTTTATTATAAATTATGGGTAAAATTTAAATAGAGAAAGAGGATAAAGATTTAAAGAAGGATAAAAAGCTGAATAAAAAGAAATAAGTATCTTTCAAAGGTGATATGGATCTTGAAAAACCTAGGGGTATTAAGAAGAAAGTGATAAAATAAACTAGTGAATAAATTAAACAAAAATTAATAAAAAAAAAAGTACAATAACTAAATCAAATAAAAACTCAAACTTAAACTGCTACATAAAAGAAGGTTGAAATATTTAAAGAATTTAATAAAAATATTGAATAATAGATTTAGATTCCAAAAACTTCGACTAAAGGTTAGAGAGAAAGATGGCTAAAGAAATAAAAAATTTTAAAAAAGAAGGTAATCATTCATTAATATGAAAGTTATTAGATAAGTACATTATTACAAAATAAAAATAGGAACCATAAACTTTTATTTTAGATTCATTGAAAAATAATTTATAAGCTATTGATAAGCAAAATGAGGAAAAATTAAAGTAATTAGAATTAGAAAGAAACAAGGGAACTTCAAGTCACTTAAGAAATAAGTTGTTAAAGGAGGATTAAATCAGAATGAAGCAAGTTTTCTAGATTAAACCTTTCTAAGATAATCCTTTAGCAACGATGAAAATGCATCTAGAAAACACATATTCTAAAAAGTGATTAATTGTTTATATTTAATAAGTAATATGAATTTCATATTATGATTGATCAGCATCATAAAATTTATGTGATTATTAATCAAATAAATATCATGGCTATTTAATAATTCTCTTTTTTTCCTCAAAAATCAAGATCTTATATTTTTCAACTTAATATAATATTGGTGATATTAATAATTATTTAACTACTTCTTATATTCTAAATTAAATTAGACAAAAAGAGATTTTAACTCAATATTTATTCAATATTATCTTTTTTTCAATTTGTTTAAAGTTAAATTGTTACTATTTTAATAACTATGAAGTTTATGTGAATTATTCAGATGTAATATTGTCCAAATTTGAAAAACTCAGTTCCTAAGCTAGTTTCATTTATTTTAGATAAATTAATTTAATATGTATAAAAATACAAATTTGATCTTAATTATATAAATTTGATCTTTTTATTCATTGTTTCGTTTAAAATTTAATTTAAAACATCTTTGACTCTTTTCAAAATATCAATAAAATACTTTAAATAATTAATCAAAGAATACCTTATATAATAATTAAAAATTAAGTACTTCTTAAGTTTTTTTTATAAAAGTGAATTAGTTTGTTAAGTTCTATATTTTTAAATAGTTAATGATAGATTATATTATCTAATTATCTAATTCCTTTGAAATGAATGAATAAATTTTAAATATTTAATATATTTATAATTGATCATAGATTTGCTGCAATACTTAATTTATTGCATGTATCTTCTAATAAACTTAAGAGGTGTTCTTCTGATTATTCCCTAAAGAAAGTATAGACTAATTGTTTACCTTGTTTTTTTTTCTTGGTCCAATTCAACTTTGACTCTATTAACAATATCTTTTAACATTTCAAAGATTGATTATTCACTTTCATCTCTGTTTCTTTTTTCTACATTAATTAAATTACTTAATTTAACAAGTTCATCAGTAATTGACTTCATAACCTAAGAATAGATGGTCAAATTTATACATTTTAATCAGACTCATCTCTTTCATTGGCTTCATTTCTGATAGCTTCTTGAATTTTAGGTAAATCATTTTACAATCCTTAATGAATTCCCTCAATTGAATCAACTCTACTTGCTGTTTCTTTTTAAACTTCAGTTCTTAATAATGCTGTTTTATCTTCTAACAGACGTAATACTTTAGATTCTCCTTCTTTTCTAGCTTAAGTTTCATTTTCAATTGCATTTTCAAATTTCTTCTCTAAAGCTGACACTTCTCTATTTTTAGTTTCATTAGCTTATTCTTTAGCTAATTTATCTTCTTCAACTTATTTTTATAATTTTCCTAACTGATATATGATATAAAATAATACTTGATCTCTAAGTCCATTGAGTTTAGTAAAGATTTATTCTTAAAATTCATTAAATGCATCTTCAGCTTATTGAATTCTTTATTCAGCTTATTCAAGTTTTTAGAATCTCTCATTCTCTACTCCTATTTATATGGTTGATAACTTTTCTGATATCTTCTAAATTCTTCCACTGCTTGGTGATACTTATTAATCTAGTAAGAATAGTTGTTAAATTTTACATAAAGATCTGGAATTATACATTGTTAATAAATTTTATTTATGATTAAACTCTTTTTAAATATAGAAATTAAAATATCAATCTAATAAAAATTTCTTGTTCCTTTTAATGCTACTCTAACCAATATCGTATTGAGAAATATCTGCAAAATCAGAATATGAATTATCTATTAAATCATATTATTATTATTCGTCTTCATTATCAACTTTACTATTTCTACTTGAAATCTAATTAATATTTTTGTAAATATGTTCAACATCAATTCCTCTTGATTTTACTGCTTTTACTAATTATATTAATTTCTTTTCCTTCTCTGAAAGTGTTTAAATCTTAGATTGCATCAATTTTATCTAATTTTTTAATTCTATTTTTTCTTGTCCATTCATTTACTATTTTTTAGGTTAAATTTGATGTTATTTTTTCATCTATTTTATTTACTCTAATTAAACTTCATAATTTTTTATTCTCACTTATGCTTCTTTATTTTACATTTCCAATTCTAAATCAATTAGATAAAATACATACCAAATTTAAATTTATTTTCTTTTGTTTGTAATTCTAATTCATGTATTTTTTAATTTAAAATTGCTTTCTCTTTATCAAACTCAAATTACTTTTGGTTTTAATTATTATTAACAATTTCTCTTATCATTTAGATTAATTAAATTATATAACTTGATACTTCCTATTAATTAATACATGTCCTTAATCCTACTATTAATTTTGAGAGTTATTAATTTAACTACTTAAAGTTTCTACTTTTCTCCATATTGTCAATTACATTTCTTATTAACCTTATTATCTCTTTCTTTGAAGCTTCTTCCTTTAAATGAGCTTATTCATATAAATAACTTTAAACGGACATCATTTCTCCACTTAACTTCATAGTTGATTAAGTATTTAACCTACTCTTATATAACTCAAACGCATACTTTATTTAGCTTCTTATCAGGAGTGTTAAAGCTATTATTCAAAACTCTGTTATAATTATGTTTAGGAGCAGATAATGATTTCATTTTACTTAACAATTTTTTTATTTTTTTTATAATTATTTTATTTTTAATTCTAATTCTTAACAAATATAGATTCTCATTAAATTTCATAGTTTTTAATCAATAAAATTAATTATCCTTGTTTTTTATTTTATAAAAATATATTTCTAAAATAATATGAACTTTTAATGATTAAAATATTGTGCAAACTTATAATAACAATAATAATTAAAATATTATTATAATGAACATAAAAAAACCTGAAAAGCAATATTACTTAAGTCCTTTTCCAAAAGATGTAATAGGATTGATAGCATCAAGTTGTGTTTAGAAATTCTAAGGTGCTTATGCTTAAGAATTACAAGAAAAAAAAAATAGATCTTTATAGGATGAAATACTTTATAGATTCTTTAAAAGTAGATCTCCACCATATGAATTGAGTTAGGAAGATTAAGAGGATTTAAAAAAATTTGAAGGAAATGAATACAATCTATGTTAATATAGAGGATAGTAGTTTTTAAAAAAATATTTTTAACCAGAAGTTATAAAGTTCAATGAATGTATAGAGATTTGTGATATTGAAAATTCTTCTCAATTAAAAGGATTGTTTTTAATAAAGAGATCAATGTGTAGAAGAAAATGTGAAGATAAAATGGATTTGACATTAAAAGAATATATGAGAGATGGCAAATTTCCAAAAATGGAAGAAATCTTAAAAATGTGAGACCTATTAATGTATTTATGAAGTAAAATCAAAATTAACATATTTTTAATTTGTGAGTAATGAAGTTGATAAAATTTCGTGTATTTTTTAAATAATTTAAATAATAATTTAAGGATGGCATCCTAAATCTATGAACAATTAACAGCAGCCTATACAAATGCAGATAATTAGATTAGAAATTAGGCTGAGAAATCATTAATAAATTCTTTGTAGGAGAACTATTAGAATTTTTAATTTATTGCTTAATTAGCAGAATAACAAGATAAAAGTACATATATATTGTTTATTAATAGTGTAGGAATAAGCTATCAGTTTATTGAATTCTGTAGTTATGAAAATGCTAAATAAAAATACTAGTACTAAAAAATGTTATTATTTAGATTTATTAACAGTTTAGCATACTGCTACTTTAATTTCTGTACTAATTTCACAAAAAAACCCTTTAAAATATAAGCAATTCCTAATTTAATCATTAAGTAAAATTATAAAAAGAGACAAAAGTATAATATTTATTATAATTTAGATGTAAAGGCAGAAATCCAGAACAAAATGAAAGAATATTTAATGGGAGATTAATAATGGCAAATATAAACTGGAATTTTGTTTTTTAAGATTTTGGTGAATTCTGTAGAACTGTCAAATTATAATAATTATGCAAATATAACTACAATAAACTATGAATGGATTATAGAATATTTTAATATATGTGTCTAAATTATGTCAGTTTTGAAGGATTAACCAAAAGATTTGCCAGATGAATTCATTAATACTATGAAATATTTTGCTTTATCTATCTAGGATTTATGTGATAAAATATAATCATAATCAAATCTATCTAGAGAACAAATAGTACCTATATTAAATATTCTATTCTCAATAAATTCATTTTCAGGTTCTTTAATCTTACTACTCTAATATTCCCCTTGGTTAGGAAAATAAACATAAAATTCCATAATTATTAATACTGGTAATTCCAATTTTGATGATAAAATTAATGAAATAAAATGTTATATTCTGAAATCCTACATGATAACTTTTTAAATTTTGATTAATACCCGTAATAAATCAGAAGTTAAAAAAGGCCCATTTGGACCTTATATTAATCCAATCACTAAAATTCTTTTATCTTCTATTTTGAACTATACGAGTAGCGAACAAACTAATATAATCCTAAAGTAAATCTAAATAAATATTAATAGTAAACCATTTCTAAGAAATATTATTACATATATTCTTAAATTGCTAGCAAATTTAGGATAATAGACAGAATAATATCAAATTTTCTAAGATTCAAAAGTATCTTTAATAACTGATGTAATTTATCCTTATTTAATTACAACTTCAAATGAATACATTTAAATGTAAGATGACCCAGAAGAATTCGTTAATCTTGCTCTTGATACTGTCGACAAACAAGAGTCAGACATTCCTAAAACAGCTGCAGCATAATTATTAGAAACTTTTTGTGATCATATTGATGGCTCTACAACATTCTTGGCTAATCTTGCTGTTATCATAATCTAGCATACAATTAATAGCTTATCTAGTAATCCTATTCCATTAAATGATTAATAACAAACATTTATAAAAGCAATCTCAGAAAAGTAAATAATAATTAATAAAATAGAAAATTATTCACTGAATATAACGCTATTGATAGAATTGAAAGTAGTTTAATTGTATTGACAATAATGAGTTATTTGATTTAAAAAAGATTTGATATAGTTAGTTTAATGGAGTAACTTTTAGTTGATAATCTAAAGTTTTTTTAAAATATTTAACAGCAGATAATAAAAGTAAGGTTTTCTCTGTTTTTTGGTTACTATTGCGATAATTTATTTAAAAAGGATATTCAATCTTAGAATATGCTAATGTATTTATAAATTTTAATAAATTTTGTTGAACCAAGAGAACCAGTAGTATTATATTAATCAATAGATGCATTAAAAGATATATTCGAAGATGAAGAATTGAAAGAGAAAACAAAAAATTTAGTGGCAATAGTGTTTCCGCCATTATGCAATGGTCTAAAGTTTAGTATATACGAGAGACATTTCGAAATGATCACAAATCTTATAAAGAAGTACTCGTTCGTATTTCTATAACAAGAATAGTTATTAATTGGTTTGATGCAAATTCTAGTTTAAAGAATAATATATGAATAAGAATTAATTAATAAAGGAGATAACTAAAGACATATATACTTAAATAAATGTTGGAATATTATAAGATAATTGGGAGATCAGGATGAATACAAAAATTTATTAATAACTTTGGAATAAAACATATATTAATTATATTCAATGTTAACTAGTTGTGAGAAAATAGATTTTGATGAAGATTTAATTTTGTTCATTTCATAGTGTATATCAAAATTATCATCTGTAACTCTTTTGTAAATGTAAGTGTTACCATTGTTTTAGAATGTTATACAGAAGCAAAACTATAGATTAGGGAATCTATATGAAACCTTAAATTATTACATTCACTATGGTAGAAATTATTTTGTAGATGAAAGATATTAGTAGATATTTTTCAACTTAGCTTTTTAACATTTACAACCTGATTAATAATTCGAGGATATTGAATAAGCTGAAGGTGCATTGCTAATACAATTAGGAATTTAAGAATTAAATTAGGATTTAAAAAAACCTATTCTGGAAACAATTCTTAATTAAACAGTTACTATGATGTCTACTAAAGAACTTAAAGGTATACTTAGATCAAGAATAACTGGAATTATATTAAGTGCACTCTATTCAATATAAGAATTAACCTGTGAATTATTAGCTGGAATTTTTTCAGCTGTTTATAATAAAGTTCTTGATACATATTATTCTCCAGGCTATGATATTAAATTGTTTGTAATTACTATGTCATCCTTAATTAATAAATAACCTAATCTATTAACTTCCAAATTAATCACCACAATTGTCAATAATTTATTTCAATAAGATAAATTCGAAAAGGAGACTGAATAAAAGAAATTGAATAGGTACTCCATTTAATAAATTTAGTTCTTTTGATGGAGAAGAGTTTGATTAAGAAGATGATTAAGATGATGATTTCAATCAACAAGATGATATCAGTGAAGCTTAATAACAAATTGAATTATTTTTAAGTCCTATTGTAAAAATTGATGAATATTCAGTCTTTAAAAATACTCTATTTGCAATCAAATAACAGTAATTTTTTTTTCATTATTAGTTATGCCTTGGGAATTGAATAACTTAAATAAGAACTCGATAATTAAATAATTGTTAAATTGAACGAATTGATGTCTTTTGTAAGAATAAGTACAAATGATGGAAATTAATTTTCAAGAAAAGTAATCTATCTATTTATCTCTAGCTTATTAAAGCATAAAGAAGAAAGAAGAAAAATTGATTTATCTAAATATTGTTATAATTTAAGATTGATAAATTATGTGATCTTATTCACATCAATTTCAATAATCAATTAGTTCTTAATAAAATTATAATCTTTAATCTGCTAGAATTGCTAAAAAACTCCCATCATCTGATTGATATACTTATTCACTTTTTACTTACATAGATTTAATTTTCTTTATTCCTTCTTACTCTTCTATTTAATAAATTGAGGTTTCCTTAGTTGTACCTGATGAAACTATTAAAGTTTATCTCTTTTTACTATAACTAACTTAATGAGCTGGAAGCTAAAGAGTATATTTTAACTCAAAGCCATCATTTTTTGAGTAATAATAATTCATATTATTATCCTTTAATATACCCATCAAATTCAAATCATTCTAAAAAGTTATAAAATTAACCTCCTGTGATTGATCTTTTATTATATTTTAAAATTTCCATTAACCATTTTAAAATTTATAAATATATATCTTACAATCTGAACTACCAGCTACTAAGTAAGAATCATCATTATTAAAATTCAGACACAAAAAATATTTTCTACATTCATTCAAAATTTATGCTTTTTCCCATTTTTAAGATTATTTTGTCCATAAATGTATATTAATAGATATAGCAGCCAAAAAATTTCCTTTATTATTCAAGGATAAGTTCATGATGCCATTTGATTGACCCTCTAATACTTAGTCTTTATACCATTATGAGGATTCCTTTTTCCAATATATTATTTTACTATCTTAACTTCCTGTGAAGAAAGAATCATCTGATATTGAAAAACAGATACATTTTACATCATTCGAATGACTATTGTTTAAATCTTATATTTTTTACACCAAACCTTTCTCGCATTTCCATATTTATGCATAACAATTACAATCCTTTAATTTTGAACTTCCAAGAACAAATAAATTATTTTTTTTATTAAATTTTACATCATATATCTTTGTTTACTCTAATTATATTTCTGCTATTTTCAAAAATTCAAAATTTTATTTTTTTTTTTATTCCTATAACTTATATAATGAGGGATATTTAAGAAAAATTATTGATTAACCATCATCAATTAAATACTGATTAACATTTTTTAATTATTCTTATAGATATTTAATTTTCTCTCTTAATTACTAATGCTAATCATCATATTTAATAGATTTTCCTTCTAATAATTCAAGTTTATCACTATTTTATTTGATTATATGACTGACTTATTCTGCTAATTATATCAATTCCTTTTAGTCACATAACTATTATTTTTGTAAAAAAATCTCTATCTGATCGTTTTTTTTGATTATTTGATTCTTTATTACCAAATCTAGTAACTCTTGGTGCTCTTTTTCCAATTTATTATAATATGCTGATATCTAATTTATAGAATTTTTAATTTAAACTAATTTTTCCTTATCCTATGTTATCTTTGCAATGCTTTCTTGTTCAGATTTCTTTAGAGAATTTACAAAACAAAAGATATCCTCTAAACAATATAAACTTGATTTCTAATTTAGATTACATCGATAGCAATACAATATTTTTTCCTAATAACAGGTTGTTAAATTCAATAGAGAAACAGTAATGTCCCTATGATCTTGGCAAAATATTTTTGGAGTAATTAAACTCATTATTTTAAGATATTAGTTATTTTAATTTATTCTTTATCTCAAAACAATCAAGTTTATTGGGATTATATAATCTTAAATACAATCAACATTTAATCAAACAAATTAAATGATTAGATAAATTAGAAAATATGATGAAGAAAATTTTGAATTAAATACTATAAAACTAGAATCGTTTTACAATAACTAAGTAGAAGGATTTGGTCAGAATTCACTTGAATTTATTGCAATTCTTTTTAAATTAATAGCTTTTGTTTAATTGATATAAAATATTTAAAGATGTGCTTCATAAAGAAAAGTACTTGATTGCTTTTTTGATATTATTAATAAATTAATTCAACTTTTATTCAAATATTGATCAAATTATTTTAACCATTATATTCATATTAATCGCTAAGTTTCCATTCATCGTCTACAATAAATTTGAACTCATGAGCCCCTTTAGGTATCTCTATTTCAATTTCGAATCTTTTAATAATGAAAATTTACCTATCATCTATCTATTCTAGTTATATTTTTTCTGTCCAATTTAACCAACTGCCGGTTATGAATATGTTATTTCCTCCTTAAGTCCTATGATAAATTAATATGAGTCTACCATATAAATTTAAAATTCAAATTTTCAATCTATTGTTAATTATTATTAGTATCCTATTATTATAAATTAAATTATGAATCAGATGTTTATTTTTCTACTTCTTATTCTTATTTAATTGTCTCTTCATCTATCTATTATAATCTTAATGTTTCAGCTTCTTATTCTTATCTAATGCTTTCTTCTTCAATTTATTACAATCTTAATTTTTCAGCTTCTTATTCTTATCGAATTCTTTCTTCTTCAATTTATTACAATCTTAATTTTTCAGCTTCTTATTCTTATCTAATTCTTTCTTCTTCAATTTATTACAATCTTAATTTTTCAGCTTCTTATTCTTATCTAATTCTTTCTTCTTCAATTTATTATAATCTTATTTTTTCAGCTTCTTATTCTTATCTAATTCTTTCTTCTTCAATTTATTACAATCTTAATTTTTCAGCTTCTTATTCTTATCTAATTCTTTCTTCTTCAATTTATTATAATCTTATTTTTTCAGCTTCTTATTCTTATCTAATTCTTTCTTCTTCAATTTATTACAATCTTAATTTTTCAGCTTCTTATTCTTATCTAATTCTTTCTTCTTCAATTTATTATAATCTTATTTTTTCAGCTTCTTATTCTTATCTAATTCTTTCTTCTTCAATTTATTACAATCTTAATTTTTCAGCTTCTTATTCTTATCTAATTCTTTCTTCTTCAATTTATTATAATCTTATTTTTTCAGCTTCTTATTCTTATCTAATTCTTTCTTCTTCAATTTATTACAATCTTAATTTTTCAGCTTCTTATTCTTATCTAATTCTTTCTTCTTCAATTTATTATAATCTTATTTTTTCAGCTTCTTATTCTTATCTAATTCTTTCTTCTTCAATTTATTACAATCTTAATTTTTCAGCTTCTTATTCTTATCTAATTCTTTCTTCTTCAATTTATTATAATCTTATTTTTTCAGCTTCTTATTCTTATCTAATTCTTTCTTCTTCAATTTATTATAATCTTATTTTTTCAGCTTCTTATTCTTATCTAATTCTTTCTTCTTCAATTTATTACAATCTTAATTTTTCAGCTTCTTATTCTTATCTTATTCTTTCTTCTTCAATTTATTATAATCTTATTTTTTCAGCTTCTTATTCTTACCTAATTTTTTCTTATTCTATTTATTATAATCTTAATGTTTCAGCTTCTTATTTTTATCTTATTCTTTCTTCTTCAATTTATTATAATCTTATTTTTTCAGCTTCTTATTTTTATCTAATTCTTTTTTCTTCCATTTATTATTATCTTAATTTTTCAGCTTCCTATTCTTACCTAATTTTTTCTTATTCTATTTATTATAATCTTAATTTTTCAGCTTCCTATTCTTACCTAATTTTTTCTTATTCTATTTATTATAATCTTATTTTTTCAGCATCTTATTCTTATTTAATTCTTTTTTCTTAAATTTGTAATTATCTTAATTTTTCTGCTTCTTATTCCTATCTTATTCTATTTTCTTCAACTTGTTATTATCTTAAATTATCGGCTTCTTATTCTTATTTAATCCTTTCTTCTTCAGTTTACATATTAACATATTCCTAATTTACTTTAATGTGCACTTATTGTTGCTAATTGTCCTCCTAATTGCATAATAGATTTTAATTTAATGATTGCTATTCAAACTTCACAATAGCATCATTATTTTACTAATTATATTTATTTTTTTAACCTGCTTTTTCATTTCTTGCAGTTTTGCTTTAGCTAATTCACCTTATTTTTGAAGCTTTTCAGCATCCTTATCAAATTAATTAAGAATTTGAATTGAAGTTTAATTCTGTTCCTTTATTAATTACTCTGGTTTACTATCTATATTTAAAATCAAAGCTTCTAACAATAAATTATAAAGATACCAGAACTGTTGTCATCTAAAATATGTTTATTGTATATACCTTATGATTCAACTTTAATTTTTTTATCCAATTCATCAAATGTGGCTGGGGTGTATGTGATGTGATTTTCATCCGCAATGTTGTACTTTGTTAATAAATTTAGATACTTAGGGCTACTAGGATTACTTTTTTTTTCTAAGACACAAATTTCCCATTTTTAAATAAATTATGAATTTTGATAATGAAAATTATTAAAGCTGAGTTTTGAACCTAAAATCAGACAATATTAAGAAATTGATGAATTAGTTAATATTCTATTGATTTAATTACTAATTTAAATGGTAATTGACTAAATTCTGTTTTGATTATATAGTCACTAGTAGTAAAAATTTTAAGTTAAATTAACTTTTTTATTTTTATCAATACAATTGCTTAAGTACTTGAAATAATTATATTATATTATTGAATTTGAATTTTAAAATGAACTAAAAAGAGTTAAAATTTTAAATGGAAGCAGAAAATTCTAATAAGGAGAATGAAGGATATTTAGAGAGACCTCGTATATATAAATAGAGAATTTTTCGTATTCCTCTGATAGATATTACGGATGTATGTTATCCAAAAAGAAGAGAATGGAATTAAAAACCTATTAAATAGAGTGATTAAAAGTTCTCACCAACTATTTAATTGAGATGATAATAATGATTCATAATTTTAGATCATTATTAATATCTTTCTTTAACTAAATATAATTGTTTATACTTCGATGAAGATTCAATCATTATAATCAACATCTGGTAACAATTCTCTAATAATCATATCGCTAACTCTAAAATCCATATCTTTAGCATTGGCCAATTCGGCTTCTTCATAATTAGTAAACTTCTCCTTAAATAACTTTTTCATATTTTCTAATAGATTAGATTTATTGACATTAATCAATCTATAATGGATTTCTCTGATATTGATAACATGAGTAACTTTATCAAGAGTTACTCCAGATCTAGAATACATAATAAAAGATACGGAACTCCATTTGGCCATTGTGAATGTTAATCAGTAAATTCTTTTCCATGAGGAGGAGCATCAGCTACATGAAAGATATATCTTAAAGAAGGTGTATGACTAGCATCTCTCCATTCAATCTTTTTTGCTGCATCATATAATCCATCCAACACAGCCTCTGGTGTATCTCCTCCACCTTAAGCATCTTATTGATCAATAAATTTAATTATTTCTTCTTCTCCACATAAATCTTAAATCTTGGTTACATAAGAAGTATCTTAAGGAGGATGATCTCTATAACAAACAAATCCAAATTTAACACTAATGTCTTCATTTTAAGCTTTATTTTTAATATTTTTTATAATTTCCTTAACAGTATTCTATATTATATAAATAAGATTTACTTTGGTTTAATTTAAATACATTGACATTGAAGAGGTAGTATCGACACAAAATACTACATCAACAATTCCAGCTGCAGCTTTACTTTCAGTTCTTCTTGGTAATTTTGCCGATTCTGTTTATTTTTACTCTTATTATTCTTATTCTTTTTTTCCACTCTTTCCTTTCTTCTCACTTTTTTTCTCAGATTTTTCAACAGGCTTTTTCTCACTTTTATCATTCACTTTCATATCTGATTTTTCAACTTCTTTTTTCTCAGATTTATCTGTAACTTTCTTTTCACTTTTTTCATTATTTTTCTTTTCAGATTTTTCTTCTACCTTTTTTTCACTTTTACTTCCTTCCTTTTCATTTTTCTTTTCACTTACTATTGTTTTTTTATCTTCTTTTACTGCACTCACTTTAACTGGAGTTTTTTTGGGTGTACTTTTTTTTACAGGGCTTTTTTTTGGGGTACTTTTTTTTTTACTTATTACTTTTTTTTGTACAGGTTTCACCTTCTACTTTGTTTCTGTATTTTTTTTAATATCTTGAACCTCAGCTTATTTTTTTTATTTTGTATCTTCTTTAATAGGTTATTTTTCTTCTTTTTAATTTGAATTCTTTTTAGGCGCACTCTTTTCTTTTTCATTTACTACTTTCTTTTAATTTGCTTATTAGGTCTATTTAGTTATTTTCTTTTACTATACACCTAACCTATAAAGAAGATATTTACCATTGCTTTTACTTCTAGTCTAACCCAATTTTTCGTGTACAATATTTTCATTATCTTATATTAAAGCCTAAATTGTTCTTGTTCTTCTTACTGTAGGTTTTTTACTCACTTATTACTTAGGAGCAGCCTTCTTACCCATTATATATTTAAATAAATTTTATAATTAATAATAATTTTTCAATCTTCCAGAAAGTATTAAAAAATATCTAAATAAATTTATTCAACATTTTAATCCAACTTTCTGCTTTACTTATACTGTATTATCAAATATCCTAATCTTTGAAAAATATTATCACTAATATTCGTTATAAATAATTTCTTCACATAAACAAAGAAACAACTCCTTTATCATATTTAAAAAAAATTTTATAATATAATATTTCTAAAGAAATCTATTCTAAATCAAATCTTTGATAAATACTACATAAAGCAAATGTTTTCAACAACTATTCTATTTTGTTCAATCATCTTCTTGAAATTTGCAAAAATTCTTAGAATTATAAATTAAAACATTATTCAATCAATTTGTTAATATATTGATATTCAAAGTCAATTAATATTTTAATATCTAATGAAAGTTATTAATGGTAAAATTAACTAGTGATTTTAAATAATGATTAGATAGCTTTTATATAAATTTTTTAGAAATACATCATATTATTTTATTTAGACTTTTAATGAAAAATATTTTCATTACTTAAACCAGCAGAATTGAATTTATTTTGAAAAAAAGATAATTTATTGAATTTCTGCATTTATATTTGTTTATTAATAAATTATTTCATAATTTAATATATTAATTTTATTGTCAATTATGAAAAAATTTAAACACCTTTTCAAATTATTAAGATTATTTAATAACTATTTAGTAGGAATAATGAAGAGTTTTAACTTAGATTGAAAGATTGTATTTATTAAATAGAGAAACATGTATTATTTATTTATCAAAAACAACAAAGAGTATCTGATTTAAGATGTTGCTTAATGAGTTATTTGATTTCAGAATTTGTTGTTTATTGAGCAGCAGCTTTTAATTCTTTGTTTGAATAGTTAGACTTTTCTATTAATAATTAAACACAATGAAAATGATTCCACCTGATGGATACTTCTAAAGGAGATTCGTAAAAATTATCATAAACTTTGCTTTTAATAAAAGGATTTGCTTATTAATCTAATAAAAATTTAATGACTTCAAGATTTCCATTTTTGCAAGAAATATACAATGAGTTTTATCCAAATTTATTGAAAGAATTTAGTATATGCTTAGGATCAGTGGGACAATATAAGTGTCTATTATAATACAATAAGTTACTTTTTGGGATAAACTTATAATAATTTTTTCATGTTTTAAATATCTTTTAATGATCCTTATTCAGAATAATAAATAAATCTATCTATTAATTTCAAGTTGGATAAAATTTCATTAACATTATCAGTGTCTCTTGAGGATGGTTCTGGATGGATTTTAGTTACATTATTAATATTGGAAGGTTTTATCATAGTTTCTTTAAGTTAATTCTATCAATTTGATTTATATATTATACAGCATTTGAAATTTGTTCAACTATGTTCTATTATAATCTTCTAATACTAAGTAATAAATTCCCAAAAGCTTTAAATTTATTCTTTTTTGGTGAATCATCTGGATTCAACTTTAGAGGTGATTCAATAATAGTATTTGTTTAAAGAAGCTAATCATCTTTAATGGATTAAAACTCTTAATGTTAATTTTATTTGATATCAATACTAATTTAAGTTTATTTCATCTATTTTGAGGTGAAATAATTGTTACTTAAGAATTAGGAAATTCAGACTAGAATTCTTGACTTAATTTATTCTGGGATGACAATTATTGTGAAAATTTCAGTTCTTGAATTCTATCTTCTGATAAACTGAGTTTACGATTGGATGGAGTGTAATCGTCTAAGAATTACTAGAGTTTTAATGAAAGAGTACTTAAATATTGTTAAGAGCAACTTGTGAGGGAGGGGATGAATTTTACTTCTTTTCTGATTGATTGGGAATGATATATTTTTAATAAAAGCTATCCATTGTATTAATTATTAATATATATTTATACTTCAAGTTTAACCTTATTTGCTTAGCAAGGTAACGAATTGTTTAAGTTTAGTATTTGTAGATTCGGCTTCAATTAAAGATTTGTTCAAACTCTTAAAGATTCAAGATATTTGATACATTAGAAGTTTAGAGGAGGTTTAACTCCATCTTTGAATAATCATTGATTATTGAATCTAATAGTTTATTGTCAAAGAATTAAATGGTTTTTTCAATATTGCTTTATCCAAATTTAACCATTCGAACGCATTAGGCTTCTAATTCAGACATTTAATTATTAATAATATATAAATTAATCTTCAATAATCACTTTTTTCAATATAAGGTTAAACACTTTTTCTGTCACCTCTTAATAAAGGAATTTATTTAGATAGTTAATTTTATGAGTATTTGGCTGGATTTTAAATATTAAGTTCAACCCAAGCAGTTTTTCCGAATGCATCACATACAAATTAAACTGATTCTTCCATAATTTTTGGTGGTCTTCTGGAATTATGTGTTCCATCAAAACTAAATAATTATTTGTTCTATCCTGGAAATTATTAGAGTAACAATTTAGAATGTTTTTCTCGTATTAAATCATCCTATTATGCTGACAAAAACAAAATTTGAACATCCTTAGGCAAAACTGATTATTATAAAGGTGTTACCTTTAATGATTTAAACTATATTCAATTCATCAACATTAAATTAAACTTCTTGGTGGATTTTAGATTTAACATAACACCAAAAGCAATTAAAACAGCAATTGGGAACTTTATAATTTATTTTTGCTAATTCTTAGCATAGCAAAGTTAAATTGGAAAAAGGACTATCACAAACTAAAACCTTAATATCATAATTATTATGAGCTGCCAAAATGGCTGTCACAGAACCCATGGATCGACCCCATAATCCTATAGAAGTGATAAAACTCTACGAAACTTATATTCTATTAATGGATTACTTTATTCTCTCTCAAATAATCATATAAACAAATAACATCCTTAGATTCGTAATATCCCAAGGAGATATATTCTCCTTCTGATAATCCAGAACCTTAGATAGTTAACTTAAGATACCAGATAAATCTATGCCACAAACTGAGATATTGGCTGGAATCAAATATTCAATGATCGTGAATGATTCAATTCTACTGCTTGAATTACCATGTAAGTATATTATACAAGGGTGAGGTTTGTCTTACATTCTCAGAGGCTCAAATAAACTTTATAGAGTGTTAAGTCTAACCTACATTATAATTTCTGATTTCTATTGTTGTATATTTCAAAGTCTGATCTTCTAGCGATCGTTTCTTTTACTTTAAAGACTTCATTCCCAAGATCTTTAAGACTATAGCAATGTCTTGGGGGTCTGACAATAGGCTTCCATAATTTTTCATTCCATTTGTACTCTTGTTGTCTCATGTAAGTTTTAAATTAATAATATATTGAAATAATATAATTATTTAATGAATTTGCCGTAGGTGTTCAATGTTTTCACAGATAACAACTAATTTGAAAAATTCCTTGAAGATCTTGTGGCTGATTGTGTGCATGGAATAAAACTGCCATATTTAAGTTAATTCCCTGAAATAAATCATTATAATCTTATTATTGAGGCTCAACAATTCATGCAGCAATTCAGTGAGTATTTGCTTGAAATGAATAACTAAAATAGGGAAGAAGTACAATTCATTATTATCATACTACCAGGTTCAAAGACTATTAGAAAAATTAAAATCCCAAATAGATCCGGAAAAGCACCAGATATTTACAAGGATAATAAGTGAGAATTTCAAAGGTATGTGTAAATAAGCATTATATACTCACATTTCGTTATCTAAATATGTTTTAATTGATTATAATTGGAATTTGAATGTAGATTATATTAATTCTATATAGTTAACAATATCTTCAAGTAAAATGGCTAAGTCATAGATTCCAACCATAATTGTGGAATTTCATTTACAAACCTTGGATAATATTGCAAATAAAAAAAAGATAAGATTTGAGATGACCAAGGAAGAACTCGAATAGTTTGTAGGTAAATTATAAAAAGTTATGAATTAATTGCAATTATAATATAAATGATTTCATTAAAATTTGGTGATATCAACATAATCATCCTTCTCTACTTCTGATTCTCTATAGTTTCTGGAATGTGGTTTAGGTTTTGGAGCCATTTTCTATTTTTATTAAATCAATTCCTATTAATCTTAATCATACTATTGCAAAATTTCTTAGACTTTTTGTTATTCTTTAAGTTATTTAAGCTTTTATTTTTCTTTCTAACTTTCTTTTAATGCTTCTTTTTCAAAATATTTTCTAGCTTTTTCTAAGATCATTTCTTCATCTTCTTCTTCTTCTTCCTGTTCTTTTTAAGCTTACTCTTTTAATTTTTTCAATTATTAAATAGTTGAGGTTTCATTAGTTTTGATAGGTTATGTATTTTGATGAGAAGGGATGGTATTAATCTAATTTTCAGGAGGATGATCATCTCCTTCTTCATCATCATTAAAAAATGATAATTTGATATCTGGCTTAACAAATTTTAATTATTCTGAAACTTATGTTATTCTATCTATAACAGATTTCAATTAATCTAATAATTTAGGTCTTTCTTATTATGCTAGAGTGATAGCTGTTTATTTCATATAATTATCTAATTCATCTTGATCATCAATTTCCTTTTCTTCATTTCTTTAAATATTTAATAATTCATTATTTAAGTAATCTCTTTCTTCAATTAATTATTCTAACCTTTTTTTAAGTTATAAATATGATTCAGTAGTTCTTTCTACTTTAATTTCTTTATTTACTTATTAAATTTCTTATGTCTATTATTTTTTGTTTAAAGTGTTATCATAGAATTCATCCTCTTCTTCTGAACTCACTTATGCTTATTATTCAAATTTATTAATCTTTTAGACTCTATCCCCAAATAAAACAAATTTCAATCCAATTTCTAAACTTTCTAATTCTGATCCTAATTCTTAAACTTTAGTTTCCAAATCACATTTATTCCTACCTGATTATTCATCCAATCCAAAATTCTTTCTCTCTTTAACAATTAAATTGTCTAGCTCTTCTTATTATTAACGATATGTAGATAACTTTTCACTATATTTATTAATCTTGTCTATAATTTATTCTGTTAATCCTGGTAATTAAAGTAATAATTCTGGCTCCAAAGGATATTCTTGTTCCTAATGATATCTATAAACTTCTTATTCATCATCTATTCCCCAATCTATTCCTTCTATCTCTGATTCTTCCTTTTTCTAATTTTCATTAATATTAATAATATACTCTAGGTTTCATATGTCTATACAATGGATTCTAATATAATAAATTCATATAATTCTCTTTCCATGTCCTAAATTCTTATTTTGCTTTCTTTTTGTCCTATCTCTTTTATAATTCTTATTCTTAAATACTTTAATCCTATCTAATCACTCAATTCTTACCTCTTTTTCTAATTCTTCACATCTCAAAATGTACATCCTAATACTCTATCCAAATTTCAATTAATCATATGGTTTTAATTTATGAAACAATTTTGTAGGAATCCTTACATTATTTACAAATGTTCCATGAGTGCTACCCAAATCATATATATAAAATTCATTTGTATTCTTTGATTGTAATACTGCATGCTTTCTACTTATTGTTGGATTATCCAATACTATATCGCAGATTTTATCATTCTTTCCTATCAAATACATTGCTTTCTATTATTCTTAATCATCTAAATACATTATCAATTTTCTTCTCTTGTATCAACACTCCATTCTTCAATACTTCCAAATAAAATGGTAGTTTAGGTCTCATTGACCATGATGGTGGAGTATAGTCTTCATACAAAGTAAAGCTTGACATTATATAAAATTATTTATTATTATATACATATATTTCTTAACAAATCGAATCACTCATCCACTTTTACTTTATTTTTACTTCTCAAAAATTTTCATTATTTAAGATATATATCTCACTATTGTATCTTTTTTCAAAACATAGAAAATGAATCAATTATTTTCCTTATTTCCAACCAATTCTTTATAAAATTAGACTTTCATAACTAAAAAGCATAATTAAATTCAATTAATTTTTACATTTATATTTTAAAACTATTCCTTTTATAATGATCTAAAACCTTTTAATATGTACATTCATCTTTTATTAAATCATTTTAATAAAACTGAATTCTTTTATCTCTCATCTAAATTACAATCAAACATATTCATTACTTCAAAAGAATTTCTTAATGTTAAAAAGTAAACTACTCTAAAAACATTTGAATTCTACATAATCATATTATGTCATTGACGAATTGAATAAGAAAATATTAAACTTTGCTTCTTTTAAGATTTAATATAATTTTTTTTATTTCTATTAAATAAATTTTCGAATAATGAATTATTATTAAGGTTACCAAAACCTAGATTAAGATGTTGATGTAATGCAAACTAGTTAATCAACAAATCCTAATTAACAATTAGAAAAAATGGAATAAATAAAAAAATAAATCAAAGAAAACCCTCACATAAACATTGCTTAAATAATCTCTTTTTAATATAATAACTAAATTAATATGATAGAATCATAAAACGAAGTCTGTGATTTCACTTTGGCAGATTATTTTAAAATAAGATAAAGTTAATGGTTTCAAAAGGATGAAATTGTTAATATAATTAGTTAAATAGTTTCAGGATATATGCATTTGAAATAATTAAAAATAACTCATAGAGATTTAAATCCTAGTATTTTATTGGTCAAAAGCCTTTAAGGAAATACTTAAATAATAATTAAGGTTTTTAGATATTAATAAAATTTAGATCTCGGATTTTGGAGTAGCATCTTATCAAGAATCAAAAATGTATGAACCAATGGGAACTCCATATTATTAAGCTCCTGAGATGAAAGCAAATTATGCATATGATGATAAATGCGATATTTATTCTGTAATATTTATTAATAGATTTAGTTAGGATTAATTATATTCTAAATGTGTTTCTAGAATTAGTATCATATCAACCCTGTAACAATGTAAGAACTTTAACATTTTAATTAATATATCAAAAATAATAAATTTTAAATTTAGAATGCTTAAATTGATCCTACCTTAAAACATTTAATAGAAAGAATGATAGTATATAATCCAAAGGAAAGAATTAGTTGGGAAGAATTGGCTAGTATGCCATTATTAAAACCACGTTTTTTAGTTGTCTATAATTATTCAAAAACAAAATAATATTATATAGATTTTTAAAAATCATTAGGTTAAGGATCCTAAGGAACAACTTTTCTAACTTATGATTTATTTAATCCATCTATTTAATATTGTACTAAACAAATTGATAAGAATAATATTGAAGGTCAAAGGGAAATAGATGCTTATAATTTAATAAAAATTGATCAAAATTGTGAAAATATCATCAAAATTGAAGAGATTTGTTATAATTAATAATATGCATATTTAGTAATGGAAAAATGCGATATGGATATTGAACAATATCTTTAATAGAAACAATTTAATTTATCTGAAGAGGAAGTTTTGGACATTTTTTAATAGATTGTTACAGGCTATCTTAAAATTATGAGTTTCAAACTTATTCATAGAGATTTAAAACCATAAAATATTTTAGTTAAATTGATTGATTAAACTTAAAGACCAATTTTCAAAGTAATTATTTTATTAATAACTAAGATAATTGACTTTGGAGTAGGAAAGGTGCTTACTTAAAATTTAACTACTACATAAGCAGGAACACCTATATATACGGCTCCTGAAATCTTTTTTCATAATGGACATAATAATTAATGTGATATATTTTCAGTATTAATTTTTTATAACACTAGTTAGGAGTAATGATGTATTATTTAGTTTATGGTAAAAATTATTTTGAGTATCAGCCAAAATCTAAAGAAGAATTATTTAAAATTCTGTAGAATCTTCAAACTCGTCCTGTATCTTGTAAACCATATAAATCTGTAAATATTTTAATTAATAAAAGTTTTCCAGCAATCTATTAAAATTAATCGAGTAGATGTTAATCTATGATTAAGAAAAAAGAATTGATTGGTTGACATTAGATTAATAAATAACAGAGATAATAAGAGGTCCAAATAAATGCAATATTCAGCTTGAAACTTAAAAAAAAAAGCCTAATATTAGAATTGTATCCATTGATAATTAGTATTAAGATACATCAGCATAGTTATAAGTAATATAATTACGTGAGTCATAATATTAATAATAACCACAATAATAATACTAATAATAATAACAATAATAAAAAATAATATAATAATAATAACCATACTTGGAATAATAAGAATACTAGTTTTAATAATAACCATAATATTAATAATAAGAGTAACCATAATATAAATAATATGAGTAAAAATAATATTAATAATAATAATAACCATAATATTAATAATAACATTACTCGTCATTATCACAGTCGTAATACAAATAATAGTAAGAGCCATAATAATAACCATTATCATAATCATTTTATAAATAATAACCATAATAATAATAACCATAATAATAATACTCATAATAATAATACTCATAATAATAATACTCATAATAATAATACTCATAATAATAATAACCATAATAATAATAACCATAATAATAATACTCATAATAATAATACTCATAATAATAATACTCATAATAATAATACTCATAATAATAATAACCATAATAATAATAACCATAATAATAATACTCATAATAATAATACTCATAATAATAATACTCATAATAATAATACTCATAATAATAATAACCATAATAATAATAACCATAATAATAATACTCATAATAATAATACTCATAATAATAATACTCATAATAATAATACTCATAATAATAATAACCATAATAATAATAACCATAATAATAATACTCATAATAATAATACTCATAATAATAATACTCATAATAATAATACTCATAATAATAATAACCATAATAATAATAACCATAATAATAATACTCATAATAATAATACTCATAATAATAATACTCATAATAATAATACTCATAATAATAATAACCATAATAATAATAACCATAATAATAATACTCATAATAATAATACTCATAATAATAATACTCATAATAATAATACTCATAATAATAATAACCATAATAATAATAACCATAATAATAATACTCATAATAATAATACTCATAATAATAATACTCATAATAATAATACTCATAATAATAATAACCATAATAATAATAACCATAATAATAATACTCATAATAATAATAACCATAATAATAATAACCATAATATTCTAAATAATTATAATAATAATCTGAAGGATATGATATCAGTTCCTAATAAATTTCACATAGATTAGTTAATAACGAATAAGAATAATAATAATAATAATTTTAAAATTCCTCTAATCAGTAATATTAACCTGAAAATAAAACTAGTAAGCCTCGCATTATAATTAAATAAGAAACAGTTTAAAATAACATAATATAATAACCATAATAATCCTCAGATGGATTTGTTGCATAATAATAAAATTTTCCAAAAGCCAATAGTTAACAATAAGTTATTGATCCTTCAATTCCTCAATAATCATTTTAAATTAATTCTTAATACCCTATAAAGGAAAATTTATAAAACTCTTTTCCACGATAATTCAACATCATTGTTAATAATAATGTAAACTAACCTCAGAATCCTATGTTTCCATAGTCTAATCCAATAACAAATCCCTAATGTTAAAAATAGGCCTAATCATCGAATAGTAAACCATAAACAATGAGTTTTTGTTAAGATCAAGCTTATAATAATTAGTAATAAAAAGATACTTAATCAAATACAACTATTCCATTAAATGATTAAAAGATCTCATAACCAATAAGTGATTTAAAATAACCAACATGGCAATAAAAAGAATTTAAACCCCCATTTCTATAAAATGATCAAAAAAGTATGTTTCCATCAAATAGTTCATAACAATTATAAATTTCTAAAGTACCTTCTCTTAATTAATGTTAATAAATCTAATCAGATATTAAGGATAATGTATAAAAATTTATAAAACCTTCATCAAGTTAAATTTAAGAAATAGGTTTATAATAAAACAATTTTAATAATATGGTGATTCCTTAACAAAAAATACCAAACTAAAATTTAGCGCCAAATAATTTTATGTAGCCTTAAAATCTAAATGACCCCAAGTAGAGAAATACAATTTAAGTTGTGGATATCAATTAAAAATCTTAATGGAACATATCTCCATAATAATAATAATTTCTTAATTAAGAAATTAATATAACCTAAAAAAACTTTTAAGATTTTATTAAAAATGCATTTACGGTTTATAATAATTAAATTAATTATTTAAGCAGTCAACCAGCATATTTAGGGTTTTATTTATGTATTTTATTTTTCTACTAAGATATAATTAAATAAGAAAAAAATTAAAAAGGTTTCTATATAAATGCAGATATAGAAAAAAAAGTATAAAAAGATTATGAAAAGGTATTAAATTTAATTTAAATTGTTGATAAGAAGAATGGGAGATTATAAGATTTGAAATTTTTAGTAGAATAAGAAATTTAGACCCTAAATTAAGCAAGAATTTTAATAATATATTAATAATATTATGAAAAAAACATGGATATTTTATCTGATTATGATAAAAATAATCAAATTTATACATAGTTGAATAGAACAATTTCTAAAATGCATGAATTAATAAAAGAAATCATTGGTAAATCCTAAATTCATTTAAAAGACTGATTATTGATATAAAAAAATTTTAATACAATTATTAATAGAATTAACAAAAAATGATCGATCATCTAGTCTACATTGATGATTTTGTAATAGATACTAGTAATTTGTTGGGACAAGGTGCTTGTGGTAGGGTTTTTAGTGCTAGTAGAAGGAATGATAACAAACAATATTGTGCAAAGGTTAAATTAAATTATATTTTTAGATTGTATAAGGAAACTCTTAAAATGTGTAAAAAGAGCTTTAAATATTAAATTTTATGAAAGATAAATAAAATGAAAACATAGTAAATGTCTTCCATTGTAATTACATTCCAGAAAAAGGATTATTTGTTGTAATTATGGAAAGGTGTGATTCAGACTTAGAAAAAGAAATTAAATCTAGAATTGCTTAATAAAGATGGTATACAGAAGTAGAAGTAGTTTCAATAATGAAATAATTATTTAATGGATATAAAATTCTTTATTAAAGTTAAATTATACATAGAGATATAAAACCTGCCAATATATTAATTTATTAAGGAAAATACAAGGTATTTATTATTCAATTTCATTAGATTGCTGATTTTGGAGTTGGTAAGATTTATTCAGCTGATTCGAATTTATTAAATATAACCAAAAATGGTACTCCAGCATTTAAAGCTCCTGAATTATAATAAAACTATGAATTTACACAAAGTATGATCATGTTTTTAATATTATTTAGATGATCTGAATTTCTAATTCTAAAATTAAACTTTATATGCTAATTAATCATAATCTAAATAATAGGTATTAATTAAAATAATATATTTGAAGAACCTCTCTCAATCTTTTTTTGATGACAAGGAAACAAAATAAAAGTTTATTCATAAAGTTGATATTTATTCAGTATATATTCTGTTTAAATTTTTAGTTTGGAATTCTATTTTATCATCTATTAACTGGATCATATCCATTTTAATTATCAGTGGCAGGCATAATGGAGTTTATAAAAAAAATAAAAGATATTCCCTTTAGAATGCCTTAATAATTAAATATATCTTAAAATACTTGTTAATTAATAGAGAGAATGATCACATATTCTCCATCTTTAAGAATCGACTTTCAAACTATCAGTTCAATGTTAGGAATCAAAATTGGAACAATCTTCAACAGGGATAATGCTATAGTAAATCCAGTTAGGCCACCATAAGTAATTGTTCCTTCATCAATCAGAATAATTCCTTTATCAAAACCATTACAAGATTTGTTATAATAATATAGGAATATTTTTTATGAAAAATGGTAATTGACCTTAATAAATTTAATAGTTGTGAAAATGATTAAGTAGTTAAAATTTATAGGAATTATTGTGATTTATGTTTAGCTGTTGCTATATATTAATTAGAAGAAAGAATTACATTAGACTTAATAAAAGATTTTATTTTTAAGTATTAATAAGCAAATAAATGCGATATTGAATTTTAATTTGAAGTTAAATTGGATAAAATATTTTATATTGATGAATATTGTAGAGTTTTAAAAAGTTAGTTTATACCTAAGATATTCAATTATGAACAAATTTAATCTTATGGAGAATAACATTTAAAATTTATGTTGATTTCATAAAAATTAATAAATGGATCTTATGATCACAAAGGAATATTAGGAAATTAATAATACATTTCATTAAAAGACTTACTATAAAGAGATTTTAGTTTATCGAAGGGATAGTATAAATAATTATTAGATGATTTATTTTGAAATATATAATTTTTTAAAAATATTTTATCAATTAAATTACTCATTTTATCCTAATTTTTCTTATTAAATTTATTATTATTCTTATAATAATAATTATTATTATTTTTATTGTTCTAATTTAATCTCTTATTCAATTTCAAATTAATTTAAATTTTATAACTGATCTAATATTTTACAATTTGGATTAAAATTAAATAGGAATGACTATTCAATTTGATTGATATTTTTTAAAGTTGTTTAGCAAATTAATTTCCATTATTAGTTTTATTTCATAGCTTATCCAATAATTACATTATTTTGTCTATCAATCAAATACTTTGCTAATTGACTTACAAATCCTTCTAATTCAACTTAGTTTTATTTTTATTGATTACTAAGTTATTCAATAATAAAGTTTAATAGAGAATCAATTATCTAATGTTTAATATATTAAATTACTTTTGATATTGATTCTGGTTAATCGCTATCAATTATTGTTTTGAATATCCAAAAAACATAATGATGAAGTTATTAATGTAAAGGAAATTCAAGAGCAATATTAATAAAAATATCCGCAAAATCTTACTGTATTAATTCAGAGTTGATTGCAACATTTTTTAATCTAAATTTAAAACATATAATAATACTATATTAATTAGAAAGTTAAAAGTATTAATGCCATTTTTGAACTACCAAAAAGCTTTCCAAAATAGTTATCTTTTTAATAATTCTGAACTTTCAATTATTAAGGTATTAATTTTAAAACATTAAGAAATAATAATTCTAATTGATCTTATTAATAATTAATTATATATTCTAAAAGTAAATTTAATATACTGTAAGGTCCTTTTGAATTAGATTGAATTTCTAAATCAAATAATTGTTTTGGATGTTGAAATGTTTCTAAGATTTTTGATATTTCTAAATTTGGATTCTATTATTTTCTTTAAAAAATTTCTATAAAAATATTAGAAATGTTATCAACAATTAAGTTTGAATGAGATTTATAAATCATCATTTTAAATAATCTATTAGAGATTTATTGAGCTTTATAAGAATAATCTAATAGTTATTAAGGTTAATAGCCAAAAATAATCAATTCTGTAATGATACGACAAATATAAGGTTAATCAACATGTTTGATTAAAGAAGATATAATTCTTGAATCATTTTCTAAATAGTTCCAGACATCAGTTCCTCTTTTTTGAATACAAGAATTCATTGCTTTATATAAGTAACCACATATTGTTTCATTAAGAGTATCACATTCTACAACAGAAATTAAAGTGCGAAATAAATTCTTCTTGATTAGTTATGATTCGTCATTTTAGTTTGGGGTAATATCAAAAATATAATCAATGAAATCTTAATTAGCATTTTAAAAAATTTCTGAACATTAATAGAAAAGCCTATTTTTTATAAAAATATATACTCAGGAGTTGGATTTCTATTATACAAATTATTACTGCAAATGATGGTATTGATTAATTCTTAAAAAATAAAAGGAGAAAATTAACTAAAATATAGAGAAATGTATATACTTCTGAATAATAGCTTAGCATTTAGATGAATATGATTAGTCACTTTGAACAATGGATAGCAATTAAGTAACGATGTAATCTTAGAAATTGTTCTACTAGTCTTACTAACTATATAGAGGGATAGATTAGATAGATACTTGTCCATATGATATTTTAAGAAATAATAATAAAATATTAATATTCAATGTTTATTGGTTTTTATTGATATCAAGCATTATGAAGTTTGAAGACAGAATAATTCTAACATTTCTAAATCAATTGAATTAACTTTAGAGTCACTTCCTCCAATGCCTTTAACATTAACAACTTAAAGTGCTCCAATGATTTAGTTACTATATTTAAGTGGCATACATATAATTGGCATACTTGTTTCAATATCAATATTCGGATTAAAAAGAGGATTGATATAACAATTACTTATAGCAATAATTTATTATGTATATATACAATTACCCATTATACCAAGAGTATTATCACTTTCTTCTAATTTCAATTCTTTATTAATATGTATAAATTTATTTGTTTAAGAATCATTATAAACTATCTTTGCAAAATCGACATTCATTAATGATCTTAATCTTTCTTAAGCTTATTAAATTAAATTAAATATTTCATTTTATTTTTATTACAACAAAACTCCGGTCTTTATTAGATGTCTTAATTTATTTTAAATTAACATTTGAGCATCATGATTTAATGCATTTTTTAAAACCGATCTCGAAAATTCACACATTATTTGTAATAAAGCTTCATCATCTTTTGTAAAATAACCACTTTATTTATTTACACATTATAAAACTCCAACACATTTATCATTTTCCATTATTGGACATACTAATAAAGTTTTAGTTTTATAATTATTTTTAATATCTTATTATGAATTAAATCTTTAATCTCTATAAGCATCTTCTATATTTAATATACTTTTCGATTATGCTACAAATCCAGCAATACCTTAACCAACTTATAAACGAATAGTAGCTGATGTTCCTTTTGCAACTCTAGTCCATAATTCTTTTTTACTTTAATCAACTATAAAACATGATGCTCTATCACATTCTAAACAATCTACACATTTATCTATTATTGTTTATAAAGCATCATCTAATAAAATAGAAGAATTCATTTATAATGCACCCATTACTATTTTTTTTAATCTCAAAACTAATATGAATAATTAATTATGATCAGACATTATTCTTTTAAATTTGTCATATAGAAATGATAATTTTTATGCTGACATATTTTAAATTATATCTCCAAATGAATCTTCATTATCTAATAATTCCCTCATTAAAGATACTGTTCCATCTTATTTATATTATTACATAGCATCTTCATCAGATAATTATATATTTAAAATAGCATTTGTTCTAAAACAATCTTCTTATTAAAGTGTATCATAAAATGTAGATGCTTTCTATGTCTATTTTTCATTTTTTTATTATTCACTTTCTTACTCTAAATGCAATCTAGCTAATGTTGGATTTCTATATATTCTTCGTTTTACACTTGGACTTTATTAAGAAGTGTCATCTAAAAATTTACTTAAATAATTCTTCTTTTCACTAAGTGTCTTATTATGTCCAATTTTTATTGTTATTTTATTAGAATGAAATTATCTCTCAGATTATAAAATGTTTAGTTTTGTTTGATTTGCTTATATTAAATATTCGTTTATTTATGATAATCTTTATATCTCTTTCTATTACAATTTTATTTAGTCTTTCAATCTTCTTATTTACTCTAACATTGTCTCATTTTATTGATTGCATGGACTACATGTACCCTCATTTCTTTATGTTCTTTTATTAAATAATAAAGAGTCCAAATTCTTTTCACTTTTTTAATCCTTTCCATAGAATGATCTTTTGACATGTTCTGTTTAAGTAGTTAATCTAGGACTATTTAACATTTCTAGTTTATTCATTATTAAATATTAATAAATATCTTATTATCATTCAATAGAAACATTGCTTTTTTTGCATAGAAGCTGACTAGGTATGAATATATTTTCTTAAACATTTTGTTAACTTATTTATTTATTTATTTCTTAATCTATTTTTCCATCACATTTTAAAAATGCATTAGGTATTTTCTGTTCCGATGGATTTGGTTTTCTCTTTTTTACAATAGATGGTTCAACAGGTATAAGTTTTGTTTATTACATCTATTTTTATATTTCAGGTGGAATATTAATCACTTCTTTATTACCATTTTATTTTGAATCATCTTCACTGTCAGAATAATTAACTAGCATTTTCTAATTTAAACTAATAATTTAAATTTGAATTATAATATTTATGTCATAAGAATCAGTTTCAATAAGCACTTTGATTCAAAAAAATGCACAATAAAATGTAAATTAAATTATGCTATGCAGACTTAATATAATTGGGTCGGAGTTTTAGAATTTTTACATGAATAACATAAATAAATGTAATACAAAGATTGTGAATGGGCATTAGAGAAATCATAAATGCAATAGAAAATTAATGAATTAGAAGGAGTGGTGAAAGGCTAAGAGAGAGTTATAACTGATTTAGGAAAAAGATGTAAAATGTTAGAAGTAGCCTTGAGATAAGAAAGATTGAAATATCAATAAAATGGATAAGCTCCTGATTATTTGAATTAATTGTTAAAGGAAAACATTGAAAATTAGAGTTAAATTTAAAACTATTAAACTATTCCGAAAAGAAAGGCAAAACCTTATCGTCCATTATTGCAAAAGTATGAATAAGTTAGTTTAAATTAAGAATAATTCAAGAAGTTGGTTTATAATCAATTTTCTCTCCACCTAGTTCTCCAAAAATAGAGCATTCTAATAGACCCTCAGTTATGTTAACACCTAATTAGAATGTTACATCAATAGTTCAAAATTCAGGTCGACAGAGTCCAACAAATATGAATAGTACAAGTGGATTTCCAACTCATAATAGAAGCAAATCACAAAATATAAATGAAGAATAAGCATAAGTAGCTTCAAAGGACCCAGTTTAATTATAAAATACTTTAAGACATCATTTAGATGGGGTAAGGGATGCATATTTTTTTAACAATATGACAATTTTAGCCACAGTTTCTGAAGATTGTTAATTGAAATTGTGGGATTATCAAAATTATTAATAATAGCAGAATTAGATTGAACCATATTTAACATTAAGGGATCACACAGGGCCATTATTTGCAATAGCAGGAATTGAATAAAGAATGAAAGGAATATAGAATACAATATTTAGTGCAGGTGCTGAAGGAGCAATAAAAATGTGGTATTTTCCATTACCAGATGAATGTGATTAATTAGGATAAACTGAAGAATTTTAATAATGTAGAATGACTTGGTAAGCTCATTAAGATGCTATTTGGTAATTAAAAGTAAATTCTCAATAAAATTTATTATTATCTTCTGCAGCAGATTCTCTTATTAAATTATGGCCAATCTCAGACTCATAATCTGAACCTAAATAACTTTATTAATTTGGTTAGAAGAATCAATATGGTCATTTTGTAGATTCACCGACAGCTATATCTTGGTTATAACATAATCAAAATTATTTTGCATCAGGTTTTATGAATTCTTGTATTCTTTCAATTTTTGATACTGAAAATGGTAGAAATGTGTAAAACATTAAATATTTACAAGAGAATAATACTTAAGCTTAAATAAATTAATTAACATAATTTCAATAGTCTTGTCTAATATCATCACATGATGATGGTAAATTAAGAATCTTTGATCTTTAATAATGTATTAATGTATAATTAGTATAGCTAAATTAATATCATAAATAGTTTGTGGAAACGAACCAATTACTTCAGCTATTACAAATCTTAATAATACTATGATATATATTGCAACAGGCAATGTTATTAAGTAATTGTATTTCTTATATTTTTAATAGAGTTTGGGATACAAGAAGATAATAATTTATATAAGAACTATAAGGACATTAATCTAAATATGATGAAAATATTCATAATTTAGTTCATCATTCAAGTTATAATTTATTTGCATCTCTAGGTGCAGATGGATAAATTAAATTATTTTCATCAAAATGATTTATATATATAATGACATTTATCATTAATATATATCATAATATATTATACTCTTCTATACATCTAAATTTTAATAATCTCTATTATAATTTATTATACCGTTTTTTATGAAATAAGTCATTTTCCTTATTTTGCTTATTGCTTTGAGTCGACAAACCTCTTTGTCTTCTAAAGTAGATGCTGTGATGGCACAAATGGATAAAATGGCAAATAAAAACGAATTTTCAAAATAATTAGCTGGATTAATTGAACTTAAAATGTTATAAAGTTCATATGTAGAGGAAGTATTAAAAGAAATAAAAGTCATCAGAGATTAATTAATTGCAGATTAAACTATAGAAGATTAAGAATTTGCTAAAGTAATGAATCAATATTGATAATAATTTAGAAAATTGGATAATTGAATGTTGAAATTGAAATTTTAGAAATCTAAACAGAAAAATTAGCTAAAGAATTATAAAGACTTAATTAATAAATAGCAGATTTAAATGAAGATATTAGCAAATTAATTGGTACATAATAATCTTAAGAGAAATAATTATCAACTTTGAATTCTAAAGAAGAAGATATTAGAAATCAATATAAATTAGAAATAGATAGTATTTCAGTAATTCTCATATATATTTATATAATTATAGTAAAGAACAACTAATAATATTAAATCAATTGATGGATTAAATGAAATGATTGTCAAATTATAATAGGCTGTATTTGCTGAATAAAGTAAGACAACAATCCTATCATAATAACATACTAAATAATATGTTGATTAACTTAGTAATTCTTTAGGTCCAAATCATCCAATTACAGCACTTGTTTCAGTAACAACTAAGTATTTTAATCTATTATTTTAGATTTGATGTTCCAACTGTTACTAGAATTATTTAATTACTTGAAAACATTAGAGATCAAAGAATTTAAGAAAATGCTGGTGCAGATGAATATGTTACTAAAATTACATAATCATATCAAATTACACTTAAAGAAGTCACTGAAGTTAGAGAAAGACTCAGTGCTGATTATTCAAGAACTATTGTTACCTTAAAAAGAAGAAATGAAGAAAATGTATCAGTACTATTTATATTAGACATTATCTACTAAAAGCAGAAATTAAATATAAAAAGATTTACCTATTGCATTAGATTTACTCTAATAATATAGAAATGAAAGAGAAATTGTTCAATCTAATTATAATTTAAGAACTGCAAAAAGAGAAAATGAAGTTAAAATTATAACTTAAGCTTATACTATAGTTGCCTAATAAGTTAAAGTTTGAATAATATTACAAAAAAAACACAATTATTTCTAATTTAATTATTTTTCCCTCTATGGATAGATTTGATATTTCTTAAACCATCTAACCTATGACCATTAGTATGATCAAAAAAGGAATGAAGACAAATTAACATACCTAATTAGATTATGTTATTAATGAGGGTCATCCTATTAATACTATATTAATTGTTGGATTCTCGGTTGAATTATTAATTAATAGTGATTCACAAGAATTTTAAGCTTTAATTGAGGATAGTACTGGTAATATTTAAGTTGTTACTCCATTAACACAATAATATCCATATTGGTTAGATGTAATCTAAATTATTATTAAATTAGAAAATTATATAAGAAAATCCTAAATAACCTTCTTATGTTAGGTCCATCATTATACCTAAATTATTTAGATAAGAAATTGTATTTTAATGTGTTTATATGGAATTAATCAAAAATTTTAATATTATCACTTTGCATTTAATTGATTGTATTAAGGCTTATGAATATCGCAAATCTATTTCATATCTCACTTAATTAGACAATAATTTAGAACAATAATAATTAATTAAGCAAAAATCAATTTAATATCAATCATCTTGTATTCTTTAATTAATTGAAAAACAACCATTAACAAAAGATAAAATTTTAGAACTTACCAACATTTCAGAATAATTATTTCAAGAATGTTTATAATTTTTAGCAAACCAAATTTAGTTAGATGAACATGATCAATATTAAAAACTTTTATAATGAATATATATTATTCAATTATGATTATTCATTTCTTATATTAAGAAATTATTCTACAATTTTTCGTAATTTCTATATCAAATATTTTAGATTATAAACATTTGAATTTTTAATAATATATTATGCAAATATAAATTTATTTTTTTTGGATCTGAGATAAGTTTAATTCAAATTAATTAATAAATTTAATTTAAATTAGCTGATCAGTCTTTTAAGAGTTTTATAAAAAAATTGTTAAAATAAACTAAAATTTAATACAGAGACATTTTAGTTCCTAAATGATATTTATAAAATAGTTCATAATGTAGCTTTAACCTATAATATCTTTGATATAGATAATTTAGTACTAAATAAATTATAAAAATGGTTGATATATTTTTTAGATTATTTAAATTGATAAATATAAAAGATATTGCTTGGAAAATTAAATTTTGAGAAGTTTGGTAAATAATTTTATTGTACTTATTTTAATTCTAATGACTGTTCATGTAATTTATATTATTACTATTCACAGTCAACAATGATCTAGTATTTAAATTTAATTATTTTTATCTAAATTAAATAAAATGAAAATACATTTTAAATTAAAGAACAATTAAGTTATATGTAATCATTTTTTAAATAAAAAATAATCGAAATTTTTGAGAATAAATAATTTAATATTTGATAATTAGAGTAAAAAAATGACTATAAGCATTCAAAAGTGATTACAACTACTAGTATTTGGAGAATAAAAGTAGAGAAATAAAATAAGCAATAATTTATTATGATTTTCAAAACCTTTGTATGAATTCTAACAATTTGTCTATAGAAGCATATAAAAAGAGTGTTAAATTGAGTAATATTAATTTATGAGATAAAATTTATTTTTTTAAATACAATAGATATGGAAATGAATAAATAAAATTATTTCATACGATATTTTGTTCCTATTTTTATTTAAATAATGGAATTAAATCTATTTTTAAATTTGAGATGATAGTTGAGTTAAAAATACATGTTTATTTAGCTTAGATTAAGTGAGTAGTAGCAATGGCTTTATAACATGTAATAGGTATAAGTTTCATTCTGATATTAGACCAAGAAATATTGTTAAATTAAAAAGATTAAGTAAACTATTGAATAGATTTACGATTATTTAATGATTTTAATAAAAATGTTAAAGTTTTAGATGGTTTAAACTGTTATAAGAAAGGAAATTAAGATGTATTGGTGGGTTATTCATGATATTTTTAAGTTTAAAATCCAGATTTGATATTTATAAGTAATATAGAGCAATCAGAATTTTTGGAAATAAAAAAATCTGAATCATATGTAAAGGCAAGAGTATGCAATAAATCAAATTGGTTTTCAATTTGTTTAATTTACTTTTTGTATATATAATATAGGAATATGGTATTATTTTTATTAACAATAGCTAATATTTGATTATCTGGAGAGAAGGTTGTAGCCCAAGCAACTCCTAAATTGAATTCTAATAATTCAACTTGTACTCCTGAATCTACATTCCATTATCTAATAGTATTATCATTAGAAATGGATATTAAAATTGTTCCATCAGGAGTAAAGATAACTTATTATATAGCTTCAGAGTGTCCTTTTAGTAGTAATTTTTCTTAATAGACATCCTTAAGATACCAAATAGATATAGTAGTATCACTACTTCCAGAGGCTAATTTCAAAGAATCATTAGAGAATCTAAGAGACCAAATAGTAGCAGTATGAGCTATTAGAATTTAAACATCATCTTTAGATTTAATATTCCATAATCTAATTGATTTATCTCTTCCTGCAGATGCTATAATTTAATTATTAGGTGCAAATGTTATAACTTCTATATAATCAGAATGTCCAATTAATGTTTATTTTTCTTTTTCTTATTTCAAATCCCATAATTTAATTGAATAATCTAAACAGGCTAATGCTAATAATTATTAATCATTAGATTAAGCTATTGAATATATCCATATATCATCTTAATTTATTAATTACATTTCATTAATAGATTTAGTATCCCATAGTAATATAGAATTATCTTCACTTGCTGATACTAAAATATCTCCATTTGGTGAAAATGCAAGTGAATTTAAAAATTCAGCATGTCCATCTAATTTTTGCATTTCTATACCAGTTGTTAAATCCCAGATTCTAATAGAACAATCAATGCTACCTGAAGCAAGTACTTTAGAATTATGATAAAAAGTAATAGATTAAATAGAATTTGTATGTCCTTCTAGTCCCCTAATATTTTCTCCAGATGTTGAATCCCATAATTATATAATATAATCTTCTCCTGCTGATGCTAATATTTATCCATCTGGTGAAAATACAACACATTTTATTTAACCTTAACATTCATTTAATTCTAATATTTCTTATCCTACTTTTGTATCCCAAATTTTAATTAAATTATCACTACTACCAGAGGCTAATTTCAATCCATCGATAGAAAAGGCAATTGATTATACAGAATCATTATGTCCTTATAATTTAAATATTACTTTTCCTGTATTTATATGCCATAATATAATAAAACTATCATCACTACCTGAAGCTAATAATTCATCATTTGGTGAAAATGCAACTGAGAATACACAATCAGTATGCTCATCTAATTTTAATATTTATTTTCCTGATTCTACATCCCATAATCTTACAGTACTATCACTACTACCAGAAGCTATAAATTATCCATTTATATTAAAAGTAACTGATAATACCCAACCAAGATGACCATCTAATTTTTTTAATTCTTTTCCTGATTTTGAATCCCATATTCTTATTAATTAATCTTCACCACCAGATATAAAACTTAATCCATCAGGTGAAAATGATACTGAAATTATTGATCTTGTATGACCTTCTAACATATTCATTTCTCTTCCAGATCTTGTATCCCATAATCTTAATGATTAATCATCACTTGCAGATCCTAAAATAGATCCATCAGGAGAATATGCAACACTATTTATTTTTTTAGTATGTCCTTCTAATCTTTATATATTCTTTCCTGATTTTACATCCCAAATTCTAACTGTTGTATCTAAACTACCAGATGCTAATATTTAGCCATCTGGACTAAATACAATTGATTATACTGATTGTTCATGTCCCATTAATTTTTATATTTCCTTACCATTTTTTATATCCCATAATCTTATTGATTTATCTTCACTTGCAGATGCTAATATTTAACCATCTGGACTAAATACTACTGATTATACTGATTGTTCATGCCCTATTAATTTAATTATTTATACACCAAACTTTAAATCCCAGACTCTTATTGTTAAATCATTACTACCTGATGCTAATAATTAACCTACTTAACTAAAACTTATTGATCTTATCCATTCATCATGTCCATCTAATCTTTTTATTTATTAACCAGAATTAGAATCCCATAATATGATTGATTTATCACTGCTACAAGATGCAATCATTTAACCATTTGGTGAAAATTATACTTAATACACTTATCCACTATGTCCATCTAATTTCTATATCTAACACCCAAAACTAACATCCCAAACTCTTACAGAATTATCACCACTACCAGATACTAATATTTAACCATCTGGAGAATATGCTATTGACCATATCCATTTAGTATGACCTGATAATTTCATTATCTCCTCTCCTGATTTTATATCCCACATTCTTATTGTTAAATCACTACTTCCTGAAGCCAAACTTTAACCATCAGGAGAAAATGTTACTTATGATATTGAATCACTATGTCCTGTTAATGTTGGAAGCTCATTTGAATTTATATTTATCCATTTACAATTTTATAATTAAGCTCTATTAAAATTGCATTAACTTATATTCACATTCTCAAATCTAGATTTTTATAAACTACTATTATAAAATTATGCCCCATTCAAATTGGCATTCTTTATTTTTATATTTTCTAAATTCTAATTATTGAAAACCTCACCAATTTAATTCAATATAAAAAAACTATTCCCTCCCTCTTATTATATCTACTCTATACATGATAACTTTATTATTATCATTAAAATCTCCTTTAAATTCTTATTATCACCCAATTCATCCTTTAAAAAATGAATCATTCCTTAATATTACTCTGCTGAAAAATTAAGACTATTAAATTTACTATACTTAATTATTTTCAAAATTTAGTCTATCAATTTTTATATATTCTCCTTTGCAAAATTACTCAATTCTTTATCCATCATTATAAATTCATTTTCATCTTATTGATCTCTTAATTTTCCATTTATGTAAAGATTAAAATCATCTAAATTTATTGTAGGTAATTTATATAATAAATCAAGTATGTATTTAGATACATAAAATTCTTAGATTGATTTATGGATAAATGAGATTGTATTCCCTTTTTGATTAAGAAGTGCACATTTTCTTAAAAGATAAGTTTATTCAATTGCAATTCCTTATTAACCAAAGTATTTATCAATCCATTCTTATTATGAAATTCTTCCATCATTAGAAAAATCTACACAACTTTTTTTATTATAATTGGCTTATGTTAATTGATTTTCTGTTAATTCTAAGGCAAGAGATTATGAGAAATTGAGTAAATCTTAAAAGAAAACTTCTTAATCAATAGATTTCCCTATCATTTTAAGTTTTTGTACTTACTAATGATGATAATAATCTATGAATGCTTAATAGAAGCTATATGGAGTGTAATTTTAATTCTTTAAAGATTATTTAATTAGATAAACATCTTATCCAAAATCAAAATTCTCTTCATTAATAACTAATATTTGTTTTTCAATTTTAATTTAACTTAATGGTGAATAATTTTAAAAGATTTATTTCATTTCTAATTTTTTCCAATAATTTTCTGCCTAAAATTATTAATATTCAGGATCAAATCCTTAATCTAACTTTTAAGAATGTTTATTAATAAGATATGATTATTCCTTTAATTTAACATAATTTTTAATAAAATTATTTTTAATTTTAGTGATATCAGAGGTATTAGATGTTAATTTAGGAAAGATTTAAGCAACAATTTCAAGCATAAATGGCATTTATACAATTTATCTTATTTAAATTTCATCCATAATTTCTATATATCGATTAGAACTCCAAATTTCTGATAATTCTTTTTATAAATTTGATAATAATTCTTCATGTTAATCATGCCTTATATCAATTTTAGGATTTTATGTAATAGAATTAATTATAGAATTAATTTAATTTCTATTCAATAATAAATGTGTCAAATTTTTACCTTCTGTAATTTTAGATATAATAATCTCATTTATTGGTTACCATATTTAATTAAAATCATCAAAATTAAAGAATTTTCTATCTATTGATATACAATATTCATAAAATGTTAAAATTTTAAATTTGACTAATTGTATTACAAAAGTTTAAAAATATAAATTTTGTTAAAATGATGAAAAAGATTATAATTCTACTTCTTTTAAAATTCCATTGCCTTCAAACCATGTTAAATATAGATTAGAATTTAGTATTTCTGTTCTTGATGTATAGATTACTTTAGGTTTCTTCCATATTTCATTTAATCTATTTAAAATATATAAGTTTTATTATGAATATTCAGTTTTTAATTCATCATATCCATCCATAATTATAATAAGTGATATCTTACCTTTCTGTACTTCTTCTTTTAATTGATTAATTTATATTTTATCGAAAGATAATTACTCTGATTATAATGTTTCTTCGATAGCCCCATATAAAGGATCTTTTAAACTAGGTAATGAAATAAAAATAGGAATAAGATTTTATTCTTTGTTATTTTAAAATTCTTATTAGTCCCAAAGATATTCTTCTATTTTTCTAGCAATAGTGCTTTTACCAGATCCTGCCTATCCATGTATAAGAAGTACATCTATTTAATTTTTATATTCATTTACATCATTATTTTACTATATAAAATTATTTACTATCGAAATTTTATTTAAATTATCATTATCAAACATTGGTATCAATTTAGATTCAGTTCTATCTGATTTCTCTTTTCCATATAATGGAACAAATATTTTTGTCAAATTCATTTTCTTTTTTTATTAAAGTACACTCTATTTTCTTATTTCAAATAATTATTGAATAGATTTTCCTTTTAGAAGTGATATATCTCTTCCTATATTATTAATGCTATTTTAAAGTTTCTCTAATTTATTCATTATCTATCCTAAATCCTTTTTAATATCTACGAAAAAGTACATAGTTATATTTAATAATTATTGCATCTCATTTATATTACCAAGAAACTCTTAAAATTATTAATATTCAGATTACATTGTAGATATTTTTTAATTTCTACTTTCTTCATCAAATTCCTATCTTATATCTTATTCTAAATCATTTATTTATTTCAATTTCTTCTACAATGTTTTTTTTAATTTCTCATTTATTGTTATTTGATTTTTTGAAAATAATTATTTCTATAATTATATCAATTCCTTATTTTTCAAAAGCTCTCTTACTCTTTAATCTTTTTCTATACCCCATATTTATAAAAGAAGATCAGTTATATATGATTATATTTAGTTATCTTCAGAATAGCTTTATATTTCAAGTAATTAAAATACCAAACATTCTCTTATTTAATATTCATTTTTATTAATAAAATCTTTAAATTCTTCAACTTATTTTTAAATTAATTTCTTCATAAACTGTTCTGATGTTGTATTTATATCAATGTTTTCTTCAAATAAATCTTCATTCAGATATTTCAATATTGAATTTAAATATTCTATATCATAATCTAAAATAATTAATTACTCAAATAATTAAATAGTTTTTATTTCACTAAGTAATTCAACAATCTCATCAATATATAAATGATCTAATTCTTATTAAAAATTCTATATGATTAATTACCAACTGATTTAATCTATTTCTTTTTTATTCACAAACCTTTTAAGTTCTTAAAATTTATTCATTAAATTGAAAATATCTTAACATTTGCTTACTTATTTTTTAATAAGTTCTTTACTTATTTTACTTTTCTCTATAATGTCATCTAAAATATAAATATCCTTCTTAAACTTTTATAGAATTTCTTTATAATATTTATCTGTTTCACTATTTTATTATTCCTCAATATATAAATAATCAATTTTATGAAGATCTTATTCTAAAGTTTTTAATAAAACTAAAATATCTTAAATCTCAGAATTAAAAGCATTTTAATCTGCCAAATTAACTAATGATTCTATAACATCTATGTTTTTCACTGTTTAATAAAGAGATTTTAATGGATTAGCTTAATTGGATAATTAATTTACAGCCATAAAATTATCATTAAATTTTGTTAAATTTTATTTAAGTTCATTTTGTATTCTATAATGTTGAATTAAAATTGTTTTACTCTTTTCAAACTTTTCTTTCTCTTCAAAAATATTAGATTACTTTTCTAATGTATTTATCATAAATTATAAGTATTCAGATAAACCTTATTGATATTTACTCAATAATGTTAATTCTCTTTTTTATTACATCTATTAAACATCAAACATTTAAGATTTCTTTTATACTAAGTTATTGATATTTAAATATTCTAATCTAAAGATCTATATTATTTGTTGAAATAAATCAAGATATTTACTAAATGTTGTAAGTTTTACAGAAAATTATTTTATTTCAAGTTCTTTTTATTTAAAATTATCAACTGATAAACTTTATTATAACTCTTTTTTTATTTCTTTTAAATTAATTAAATAATCCCATTATATAGTTTCTATCATACTTAAAAATGAAAATACATCTTCATATTTTATTTTTTCATACATTTTACTTATTTTTTATAAAGGAATGCTATGTTGTTCAAATTATGTTTAAATTTTAATAAATTCTTAACCTATTGAACTTTAATCTTATCTTTTATTTATATTTCTATCTTTTTTAATATGATATTTAATAAATTTACAAAAAGCGTTGCACTAATTTTAAGTATCAGAGACATAAGTAGAACTTGTATTATTTTTTAAACAGAAAGAATCAAGAAAAATTTTGTCTTAAGATATTGATTTAACTAAATTAATCCAAGTTATTTAAAAGAAAGATTGAAATTCAGTTTAATGTTTTTAAAATGAAATGCTTTCTGTTAGTTTTTATGTAAAATTAGAGCTGTATGAATTCAACAAGAGTATAATAATATGGTATGAAGCAACTAATTTTGATTACACATTCATAAACTTCAAGAATTATATAATAGTTTGAAATAGAAGATCTTCAATTTTAAAGATTAAATCCTGTATTTCATTATTCAATTCATTATTATCTTTTTATTCTTAAAGTGTATTTATTAACTCAAGGAGTCTTTATTTATTCTCTTCTAGATTGGAAATTGAAGTTTATAGATTCTCAATTCTTTTTATTTAATTTTCATTATCTTTATCTTAAAAAAGGATCAAATAAATTTCATAAATAAATGGATCAATAGTATTGAATAATGATGATTGAGAATGAGTTATAAAACGAAAATTAACATAGAAATCTAATCCTTTAAACTTAAAGGTTTTATTCTTATCAATACATCTTTAAGTAAGAGTTCTAAAATTATTTAATCCAGATTGTTGTAAAATTTATTTATATTAGTTATTAAGTGTCAAGTCTAAATTTAATTTAATTGAATCTGCATTATAAGGTAAAGGTTTTAAATTATGTTAATTTATAAATTGTTCCCAACTATCTAAATGATCTTAAGATTATTAATATTTAATCCAATCTTATTTTTAGATAATTGGTCTATAAATTAATAAATCTGATAAAAAATATATCCAAAGAAAATGAAGAGTAGAATTTTAAGCATCTCTTATAGATTCTTAATATATTTTATCAATTTATATAAATACTTTATTTATCCCTAAATCATTATTTTTAAGATAGACAATAATTGTCCATTTTAAACATTCAAAATTGTAATATTTTTGATATATTTTTTCACTTTTATATTCTTAATATTTATCATGAATTTCTTCTGCTGCTTTACATAAAAATTTAATTAAATCATCACTTGGACTAAGAGTTACAGCAGATGTAATCAATCCTTTAGTAAATAATTAAAATAATTATAGATTTCCATGTACAGGTATTATTTAAATAGCTGCTTTTACAATAGAAATATAATAATTAATTCCATTTAACCAAAGAGAATAAGCTTCAGCTTGAACATTAAATTCTAAATCTTTAATTAAATTTTAAATATGCTTCTTTTCTTCAATTTTCATATATCTATCATTATTTTATCTATAAAAATTAAATATTGCTTTAGATAAATCTGAGCATATTTTTAAAATATAAAAACAACATAGTCCTGAAGTTCTTACATATATTAAACTTGATGTTAATAATTATATGAAACATTCTAAAATACAATCATAAAAAGTGGATGAATTCTCTTTTTCTCCTATCCAATGCAATTATTCTCTTGAATCATAAAGCCATTAATAGCAAATAGAGAATTCTGTTTTTTTATTTTCTTCTTTTATAGTTTTAGCAATTTATTATATAATCTTTGATCTTTTTTTTAAATTCTCTAGAAAATCATTAGGTAATCTATCTAACATTAATTAGCCTTATTCTTTAGTTAAAACTGGATTCTAATTAGATTACTTTTATCCTACACATCCTCCTCCTCTTAGTCTCAATTCTATTATTTTTTCATCATTAATCAAAATATTATTCTTACTTTATGATTATAAATATTCAATTTCAGATCTCAACATCAACTTGTTTTCGAATTTACTATTTAAAATTATAATAATGAAAATAGATAAATACTAATTAGAAATTTAATTAAAATTTTTTAAATTGTATTTGTTTATCTTTGTATTTCAAACATTATGTTATATTATATAAAGAAAAATTGTTGGAAACTCATTAAAATAGAATATATCATTAGATTAATTCATTTATGTGATTAAAAATTAATAAACAATAATTAAAATATTAAATCAAATATATTTATACACCAAAATCTTTTGAGTTTAGAAACCTAATAAATAACTTTCTTAATTGTTTCTTTTTCCAAAGGTAATTTTTATTTTGTGTTAAAAGTTTAAAATAATTAATTATTAAATTAATAAAGAAATCTAATTTAAAATATACTTCATGCCAGTCTCAAATACCAGTATTTTAAATAATTGAAATCTATAATATATATATATATATTAAAAATTGTAATTCAATAATGAAAATTGAAAAAAATAACAATATTAGCAACTATTATTAGGAGATAGTGATAAAGTGTCATTACTATATATGCATGTTAATCAATTATTGATAATTTGAAGAAAAATTTTGTACACGTACTTAAATTAATTAGATATTATATTATTTGCTGATACTTATAAATCTAAACTTGATTTATATAAGTTTCATAAAATTTTGTTAAAAGCTCAAACATTTGAGATTGTTTATTATAATATTATAGTTGCTATAATCAAACACATTATGTTAATTCAAATGAATACTTCTAATTTTATAGTTATAATTTAATTCATAGTTATTAATAATATTAATAATAAGGATGTCTTGAATGTTCTTATTGATTTATTTTCACATGATGTAAAGTTCTCTGAGAAAGTATAATTCTAGTTAGATTAGAGTGAATATATTTGTTATCATCTGCATATTTCAATTAATATATAACTTTGTCTATATTGTTTAAATTTGCTTTGATGTCAATGCTATTATGATTTATTAAAATATCAACCAATGGTTAAACTTTTTTAAGTAAAATATTTTCACAATATAAAAATAAAAAAAGAAACAATAATATATAGAGAATTTAGAATTTGATGTTAAGTATTTTTAATTTTATAATTTTAATTTTAGCAAAGTTCTTATAGTTATGTAGTAAAATTAATTTCTCTACCAATTCAACTAACATTTAATAATATCTTTGATTCTTTAAGTAATATTATGATATAAAATATAATTAATGATGAATAGAGTAGATTTAAAAAATAAAATAACTAACTTGAATAAACAACATTATTATCTTTTAATACGAAATTAATACTCTAAGAGGTAATTTAGTATTTATACATTATATATTAAGATTATGATAATTATATCTCAAGATTGAGATATGTATTTTCTAATTTGAATATCAAATGAACGTATATCCCACAATACAATATATTATCCATCTAAACTCATCGAGCCAAACATAAAGGAATCTTATAATTCAATTACTTATTGTAATTTGCATGTCCAAAATTCTTCACTTTCCTTTATTTTAATTCCTTCTTTAGAAATAGGAAATTTGAAATTTACTAAATTCAATTTATTTCCATTCTTTATAATAAGAGTTTCTGTAATTTAAGAATAACATGGTGGAAATAATCCAAAACAAGAATCACCAGGTTCTGCTAAATTCAAATGATCTAATGATTTAATAAAATGCTAATGTTAATTTTAANTACTTATAAATCTAAACTTGATTTATATAAGTTTCATAAAATTTTGTTAAAAGCTCAAACATTTGAGATTGTTTATTATAATATTATAGTTGCTATAATCAAACACATTATGTTAATTCAAATGAATACTTCTAATTTTATAGTTATAATTTAATTCATAGTTATTAATAATATTAATAATAAGGATGTCTTGAATGTTCTTATTGATTTATTTTCACATGATGTAAAGTTCTCTGAGAAAGTATAATTCTAGTTAGATTAGAGTGAATATATTTGTTATCATCTGCATATTTCAATTAATATATAACTTTGTCTATATTGTTTAAATTTGCTTTGATGTCAATGCTATTATGATTTATTAAAATATCAACCAATGGTTAAACTTTTTTAAGTAAAATATTTTCACAATATAAAAATAAAAAAAGAAACAATAATATATAGAGAATTTAGAATTTGATGTTAAGTATTTTTAATTTTATAATTTTAATTTTAGCAAAGTTCTTATAGTTATGTAGTAAAATTAATTTCTCTACCAATTCAACTAACATTTAATAATATCTTTGATTCTTTAAGTAATATTATGATATAAAATATAATTAATGATGAATAGAGTAGATTTAAAAAATAAAATAACTAACTTGAATAAACAACATTATTATCTTTTAATACGAAATTAATACTCTAAGAGGTAATTTAGTATTTATACATTATATATTAAGATTATGATAATTATATCTCAAGATTGAGATATGTATTTTCTAATTTGAATATCAAATGAACGTATATCCCACAATACAATATATTATCCATCTAAACTCATCGAGCCAAACATAAAGGAATCTTATAATTCAATTACTTATTGTAATTTGCATGTCCAAAATTCTTCACTTTCCTTTATTTTAATTCCTTCTTTAGAAATAGGAAATTTGAAATTTACTAAATTCAATTTATTTCCATTCTTTATAATAAGAGTTTCTGTAATTTAAGAATAACATGGTGGAAATAATCCAAAACAAGAATCACCAGGTTCTGCTAAATTCAAATGATCTAATGATTTAATAAAATGCTAATGTTAATTTTAAACAAAAAAATGAAGTTTAGTTCCTTTATTTGGTAATACTGTCAAGAGATCATTAGTAATAAAACATATACGAATAATTTCTTAAGGGAATTTGATTTTTTATTTAACATACCATTAAGATTATTGATTAGGTTCCATTATCAATAGAAATTTCTCATCTGAACAAGATACTAATTTATTACCTTCATAGTTGATTGCCATATCATTTATAGGTCTTGAAAAGTCCTTAAATGTTTGTTAACAAGTCCATTAATGATCTTTTGACCAAAATTTTATTGTTGAGTCTTGAGAACCAGATATTATAATATCTTCTCTAATTGGATGAATAAGTAATTAACTTACTTAATCTGAATGTCCCTTCAATCTATACTAAAGTCCATAACAAATAGAGGAGTCTTGCTTAGGCAACTTTTACCATATTATTATTGAATTATCAACCATTGATGCTCCAGATATAAATGAGTCATTTTAATTTGGAAGATTAAAGAATTTAAGAGATACAACATCATTTGAATGTTCTTTCAGTTTTTATATCTCTTTCATCTACCCTGGTTGTCCATTAATATAAGGAATTTCAAATACTTTTATTTTACGACCTGCACCTATGATTATCAAAGTTTTTTGTTAATTTATTGCATTAGCATATGAAATATGAGTCATTTTTGTAGATACTTCTGGTAGAAGTTCATATATATTTGGGTTTTACTTATAATTCTGTTACATAATTCACTTTTTAATATCCTATTTTTATTAATTCAATTGCATTATTCATCAAAAATTTATTAAATTTTTCTATCTCTATATTTTATTCATTGAATATACTTATTTAGGATAAATATTATCACATAATGGTAGATTGAGATAATAATTGATTAATATTACTAAAATCTATAATTAAACAAAAAATATTATTCATAAATATTCTATCTCTAAATTTGTCATCCACTTAATATTTTATATTTCGCGATAAATTTTTAAGTATCCTTTCAAATTGGTTTTCATGTAAGTCGTTATCATAAAAGCATAACTTTAAATCAATTAGATATTTTGAGCAAAATCCACTTTATCATTCCATTATTGGATACCATGTTATGACAACAGATTAGTGCATTTTATTGAGTTTATAGTGTTTGGTTTTAACATTTTTTATAAAATTAATTTTACATTATACAACAAAAAAGAAGAAAAAAATTGATAATGACTAAATCTTTTTTATTAATAATAATTTTTTATTTGAAATCTTTCTAGCTGTCCCTTTTCCTATTTTTACTTTTATAATTAAATATCATCTTTTTATATTTAATGAAAGTGAATAATGTTTATATAATTGATAAATAATATTAAAATCACTATTATTAACTTTTCACAGTCCAAAGTAAAGTTATATAATTTATATAAATGACCTTTGCCATTCTTTATTATAGAATAAAAATATTAAGTATTAAATCTTGAGAGAACTAAGTTTTTTATATTGATTTTTTAGTTTGGATATATTTTCAAAATTTTTTTTATTGGAAATATTTACATTTTTAATTTTTTAAATAATTTATTTTACTTTTGAATTTTTTTAAATTTTATGATAAAAAATTAAAGGGAAAATAAAATAAAATGATAATGTATATTAACAGAAAATTTTGATTACTTTCTTTTTAGATTATTTTAAGCAAAATTATCTTGAAAATAACAATTGAATATACATACAAATATTAATAAAATATTTTTAAGTTAAATATTTAATAAATTTAATCTTTGCTTTTTAAACCTTTTCAAATCAATTATTATGAAAAAATTATGATCTAGTATTTAGAGCTAATAAAATTAATTGAAATACAATTCATTATTATCAACTTGTTACAAATACTTTAAAAAGATTATTCAAACTTTAATTATGCGATAAGACCATTTAAACTACAAATATTTATAAAATTTAATAAAAAAAATCTATAGTTTTCAATCAAAATAGTATCTTTTGATATAAGTGTAAAATTCAAATTTCTATAAATCAGATCACTAAAAAAATGTAGAGAAAAACAACAATCATATTTCGTTGAATGTTATATATATTATTCATCAAGTCCTCAAATATTAATTAATTAGGTTTTGTCAAAAATGATTTCCAAATTACCAACTAAATTACAAATAATAAGAATAAAATTTATTAATATTAAAAATTAAGCAATTTGAATTATTGAACTTGATAGCAAACAAATAATATTGAATGGCAAATGGCAAAAATAAAAAATTTAGAATGATAAATTCATATCAATTAAAAATTTTCTTTTTTCTATAATTCGAAATTAAACTATGACTTCATTCTAATAGAATTTGGAGAGTATTTACGTTTTTTAAATACTCTAAAATATAACATAAAAATTTAGAATTTTTCTTTAAATAATTTATGATAGATATTTAAATAATTAAAAACAATATTAATGAATAAATAAAAATTTATTAATGAATGTTCTTAACTTCTTCATGCAAGTGTGTGAAAATTAGAATAGAAATCATCATCTTCAACCTAGAATGACTGACTATCACAAGCCATAAAGTTTAATTAGCTTTATTCAAATTCTTTATTGAGATTGACATTTTCTAAAAGCAATTTTCCTTTATGCTCCTATCTGGCTTTAGTTAAAATTTCTTTTGCTTGTTCAGATGAAAGTTTTGTGTAATATGGGTTTTAAACATCTAAGTGTGATGTAAGAATACATGAATAGAATCGATTTTTTACCTAGTTTTGCTGGACTAAATAATAAAAACAGAGTACCGTTCTTCCATTTAATTATAATGCTATTTAAGACCATTTAGATCCTATACTTATGTAGTTTTAGTAAATAAACTCATCTTCTTCTGCTGTAAAAGGATTTTTATTTAAATTAGGATTCAGACTATTGTTGTATCTCTCCATACATTATTTATTTGTTTTCCCTATAAAGTTTTTAGAAATCTCATTCCATCTTTTTCCTTAAGTTTGAACCAATTTTGAAAGTAAATTATCTTCACTCAATGTCCATTTCACTTTTTTTTTTTTCTAATTTAAGAAATATTCTTTACATTTTTTCCCTTTAATCTTTTCCATCTCTATATACAAGAATTAGGATTTCTGTTTGGAAAACTTTATGCCACTTAACACCAACTTGTTCCACATTTCTTTATAGTTTAACGTAGTAAATTATCTTCCTCAAGAGTCCATCTATCTCTTTGTTAAGTTTTTTCAATAGATGAAATTCTTCTAGACTCTATTTAATCCATCGTTTTGTTTGTTTTTATAATTAAAATGTATTTGATACTTTTTTAGTATATTATAGGCCTTAAAGTTCGTTTTTAAAAATAGAAAATTTTTTTGTCTTATTTTTGCATTTTAGTGCTCCTAATTTCATAATCTTCTATAATCTTAGGACCAATTTTTTGAGTTTTTATTATTTTCTTTTAGAAAGCTAGAAAAACTCCTAACAATAATCAAACTAAAATAATAAATTTCAAAGAATAATATCAATAATTGATAGATTTAGTTGAAAAGATTAGAAATATTTAGAATTATATCTATTTTTCATATTATAATTGATTACAAGTCAAATCTAAATGAAACACTTTCTTGATTATAAATTATTACAATAGAAATATAATCAATATATAGAATGTGATAATAAATAGTTCTTTTTTTTTAACTGACAATAATTTGTATATGTAAAAAGAATAATAGACTATTTGGCTTATTTGAATTTTCACTTTCTTTAGCATAATTATAAAATTTTTATGAATATTTATTTAATCTTTCTTTGATATAAAAAAGTAGAATAAACTTTTGAGAAATTTATTAAGAATATAGATGTAAATTATAGATTTATGTTCATAAATACCTTATAAATTTGAAAAATGATTTGGACTCTCATTTCATGCCTATTTATAAATATCTGCAATTTGATTGGAAGTTATTAAAGTCTATTGATCCAAAAAAGATCATGAAAATAAGATTATATGAAGATTATCTGATAGTTAATGTTAATGATGCTAAATTATTCTAAAATAACTTATTTTCTCTTTAAAAATAAAAAAAGATTAACTTTCATTCCATTTCCTATTAATAAGTCTATTTAGGCTTTTTGACTAAGATTAATATGTAGTTAGAAATATTCATCTTCAATTTTAAAATTTTATCACATCTATTTATTTTGAACTTTAAAACAAAATAGATTATTAAGAATAATTATCTCCAAATATTTTGTATGAAATAATTGAAGTAGAAATGTGTTTATTCTAATCATAAAGAAAGTATTTAATCAATATATAAAATTAGAAAAATACTTCATCTGGGCTTCTTTAGAAGAAAATAATTTTTATTAAACCTATTTTGATTGAATTGATAAAATAAGTTCAACTTGATTCATTATAATCTTACTTATTTTTTTTATAATTTGTTTTATAATGTTTGTTTAATTCATAAAGTTAAATTCTTATATTATTTAATTAAAAAAATAATAATGAAAAGGCATAGTATCGGAAAACGATTTAAAAAGCTTAAGGGAATGAATAAAGCTGATCCTGATGCGATTATACCAGAAACTCCAAAATTAATAGAAGATTTTATAGAATCTCTAAATTAATAAGGAGCTGTAATAAACAAAGTTAAATATGCAATTTTTTAAACAAAAAATGGTTTAAAATACCCAGGCCTTATTGGTATTTAATGATTATAAATCTAGCAACTGAGACTATTGTACCAAATGATAATCTTGTCACTCTTCCAAGAGAAACACTACTTACTACTAGATAGGCATTTGAGTCCCCTTTAAAACCTATGTTTCTAGAATATCCATAAATTTTTAGCCCTCAATTTATACCTTCATGGCAATATAATATAATTCTAACATTTTTGCTTTATGAATATTAAAAAGGTCCTGAATCAAAATGGCATCTACTTATTAATAATTTTCCTAAGGATATAGATTATGCAGTATATTGGAAATCTGAGGATTTAGAATTGTTAAAAGATAAATATATGGTAAAGCATGCTAAAACAAAGAATGGATATCTTATTGCCACATTTTAAAGTATTTAATATATTGCAAGTAAATTCCCTTCTCTCTTTAAACCAAAAATTGTAACATTAGAAAATATTATTTGGATTCACACAAGTATTGTTACAAGATGTTTTGGAGGTTAGGGTTTAAAGTATGTTACTATGGTACCATTTTGTGAATTATTTAATCATGAGAGTGCTGATGTTTGTTATGATCTTTAATAAAATGATGGAAGTACAAAATATGGTTATGAGTTTATGACATAAAAATTAGTTAAAGGATAAAAAGATGATGATGAATTATCAATTGATTCTTTTGATAATTCATAACATTCAGAAGATGATATTAGTGATTCTGAATATATCACTGGAGATTATAATGAATATCAAGAATTTGATTTTGATGGATTTACAAATAAAATAACTAACCATTTTTAAGAAAACTTGAAAAAAATACCTTCAATTTAAGAATAATAACAATTATATACAAAAATGATGAAAGAATTTAATATTAAATTCAATATTTAAAGAGATGTTTTCTAATTAGCTATTGATTCTAAAGCAATCTTATTTCAAAACCTTGATTTTGGAGATAATTTTTCTATCTTGTTTTTAGGCTATATTTTCTATGCCTTAGATACATCCATAAAAGATTATTTTGATGAAAATATATCTTCATTTTAAGCTAGATAAATTTTTGAAAGAATCAAAAATATTTGTACTACATATTTAGATAATTGGTACACCTTTAATAATGTTGTCAAGAAAAATCCAATCTAAAAAAAAATTAATTTTTTTGCTTAAAAAATTGGATAAAAACCAACCAAAATCATTCCAACTGTTGAATTATTGTTATCGAAGCCCATAGATCGAAGCAAAGATTATTATAAAAATGTTTGGGAGAAGGAAAATTTTAAAAATCTACTTATGAGAACTAGAGATTACTTTGAAAAAGGATCTCAGGTTTATTTTTGTTATAGTCAATTATCAAACAGATAGATGATCCTCAAATATGGAATGGCATTGGAATACAATAAATTTAATAGTGCTTTTTTGAGAGTTGAATATTTTGAATATCTTAATAAAAAGTAAGCCAAATGGTTAGCACATCAATTTAAATTAGATAAATATAAAAGATTTAAATTAAAATTTATAAAACCACCTTATGAATTAATTATTTTCTGTAAATTAGTTTATTGGTAATATATAAGTTAAAATCTATTAGGGATTTGAATGTTTAATCTGTAGATACTATATTTTAAATCTAAGATTTATAATTAGAAAAATAAGGATTATCTTTAGCTCTTACTATTCTTGAAAAAGAAAATTCTTAATTTACAGAAAAAATTGAAGACCTTGAAAAATAACTCTTTGACAAATCCTTAGGATATCATGAATATTTTGCATTAGTTTACAGATTAGAAAGATTAAGAATCTATAATTATAATATTAAGTAATTTATTGCATTTAATTAGTCTAATCAAAATTATGATAGTAGTTCTTGACAAAATAATGAAAGGAGTTCAATTTGAAAAAGCTATTGAAAAAACAGATTATGATTTTGATTTTTACTAAACTAATCGTTACACTTTAAAGAGATACTTTGATGAATTGAGATGTGTTATAAATAAATCTAAATGAGATTGAGATTATATAGTGTGCTAACAAACATTAAAATATGAATAAAATAACAAAGAGTTCTGTTTATTTATAATTTTCTTAGATAGATTGTATATATATATTCTCAATTGATTAATTTATGTCATTTCATCAACATCCTAATTATTAAATTTAAACTAATAAAGAAGTATTATTTAAAAAATAGAAATATTGAGATTAGCTTAATTGTGTTATTTTTTAAATTGTAAAATATCTCATCTTACAAAATAATTTTAATACTAATAATATAAAAATCCTTATGAAAATAAATTAATTCTGTTATAAAGTAAATGATATGTTATAAAATTTAAATCAAGGATTCATATATAAAATAATATAAAATTCTTTTAATTTCATATAAATTTATTTATAAAAATTATAATTGATATTTTTACATATTTCTTATCTAGTAGTTAATCACTTAAAATATTATGGCTTATGATTATACTACAAATATTACTAAATTTTTAATATTTTATTATTTTTGAATTCTAAGAATATAGCAGAATAATTTAATTATTTCATTAATATTATTTATTCTCAACATTCTTACAAAAATAAGTTTTGCTCTTTAATTTTATCAATTATTCAAAAATTAGCCAGATCAGCCACTCTCTCATTGTGATCATTCTTTTAGATTCCATTTGATTAAGGGGTTTGAATTTTTAAATGAAAATAATTATTCATCGTGATTTATTAATTAAACAACACCTTTATAAATTATTTAACGGAAGGTTTATTATAATGATAATTACCATAATTTTTCTTGAACTATTATTTGAAGATAATTTACTTCTCTAATAATTTAAACTATTATCAGAAAAACCAGTATCTAACTATCAAAGGACTTGTTGTTTATTATATTTAATCCTGGAGTCCATAGATTTCTTAACTTGATCAAAGTTATCTAACCTATTAGAGAAAATTTAAGCTAATAGTGAAAAAGACAAACTTGATTTAGCAAAGCTCTAAAATTATTGTAACTGCGTAGTAAATTAATTTTTCCGTTTTAATTGGGAAAACATTATTAGTTCATTTATGACTACTTCTTTATCAAATTTTTTTGCTTTTGTAAATTTTTGGATCATAAAAATAAACTTACAAAAATGAAATAAATATTTTTTGAAAAAACAATGAAAACATTTGATTCTTCATTATGATAAAAAAAATTAGAAACTATCAAATTATTAAAACATTTGTAAATGTTTATTTTATAAAAAAACAATCAAAAATGTTCGAATGTAAATATAATTTTCACATTTTGATCGTTTGTTATAAAATACATTATTTAGAAATGATTGATAGGTTTTTATATAATAAATAATTTACACATGTTTGATTGTTTTATTTATATACAATAAGCATATTAAAGTAATAATCTAAATAAATTTTCATTCTTCACACTTAGATAAAATGAAGCAAAAATGTTTAAACCTTTATTAAATAAGAGGTTTAGTGTATTAATGAAATATTGTTTTTAATTGATTTTCATCATAAGAATTAAGATCTTTCGAAATTATTAATTTATATTCTGTAATTAAAATTTCTTGAGTGACAAGTTTATATGAAAATAGTGATCACTCTTAGAATGGAAAAAGTTTCAATAAATGGAGGATTTTATTATTTGATCATAAATAATTATAGGAAATGCATAGATTAAATTTGTTAAAATGCTACTGAAATACAATTCTAATCTAGTTATTAAATGAATCGTGCAAGCACCTATTTTATGATATAAAATGATAAGTACTATCATTTGACTATTATTTTACTAAGCTCTGCTTCTTAAATTAATTCCAGACACCGTTGATTTTATATTATGAGTCAGTACTAAAATTCTAATTCAAAAAGTTATTTAAAATTTATTTATCAGTCATAACCTGATTTAAATAATAAATAATGCATTTAATTAATAAAACAATTAAATTGTAAAAACTACAACAAAAAATCCATACATATGTGTTTAAGACTTAGATTATGATATTGAAATTTTCATAACAAGATTCGATTACTAAAATTCCCACAATTAGTTGTTCCAGTAATTCAATCAAAATCTCAGGAAATGCTAATAGCCATCCGATCTTTTAATTTTTAAGAGGAAAAAATCTACAAACTCAAAAAAATACTTAAAAGTCATGAAATCACACAACATACTTCTAGTGAGAATCATAAAAATAAGTAATATAATTGGCTCAGTGTTATAAATAACTTTGATGCTAAGTGTTAAAAAAACTACAATTATATCAATTGACCTAGTCAAATCAAAATAATTATGAAGGAATATCGAAACANATATACAATAAGCATATTAAAGTAATAATCTAAATAAATTTTCATTCTTCACACTTAGATAAAATGAAGCAAAAATGTTTAAACCTTTATTAAATAAGAGGTTTAGTGTATTAATGAAATATTGTTTTTAATTGATTTTCATCATAAGAATTAAGATCTTTCGAAATTATTAATTTATATTCTGTAATTAAAATTTCTTGAGTGACAAGTTTATATGAAAATAGTGATCACTCTTAGAATGGAAAAAGTTTCAATAAATGGAGGATTTTATTATTTGATCATAAATAATTATAGGAAATGCATAGATTAAATTTGTTAAAATGCTACTGAAATACAATTCTAATCTAGTTATTAAATGAATCGTGCAAGCACCTATTTTATGATATAAAATGATAAGTACTATCATTTGACTATTATTTTACTAAGCTCTGCTTCTTAAATTAATTCCAGACACCGTTGATTTTATATTATGAGTCAGTACTAAAATTCTAATTCAAAAAGTTATTTAAAATTTATTTATCAGTCATAACCTGATTTAAATAATAAATAATGCATTTAATTAATAAAACAATTAAATTGTAAAAACTACAACAAAAAATCCATACATATGTGTTTAAGACTTAGATTATGATATTGAAATTTTCATAACAAGATTCGATTACTAAAATTCCCACAATTAGTTGTTCCAGTAATTCAATCAAAATCTCAGGAAATGCTAATAGCCATCCGATCTTTTAATTTTTAAGAGGAAAAAATCTACAAACTCAAAAAAATACTTAAAAGTCATGAAATCACACAACATACTTCTAGTGAGAATCATAAAAATAAGTAATATAATTGGCTCAGTGTTATAAATAACTTTGATGCTAAGTGTTAAAAAAACTACAATTATATCAATTGACCTAGTCAAATCAAAATAATTATGAAGGAATATCGAAACAAATGGTACTAGTTTAATTACATGATTAAGTGATCAAGTCAGAAGACTATTTCAAAGAATCAATAAATTCATTTTGTTCAAACATCTCTTACTCTATAAATAAAATTATCCCTTTCATATTCCATCAAAACATTTTGGCAGATAATATAATCAAAAATATATTTAATTTCATTATTTTAAATAAATTATTAATCTTAATTAATTAAAGAAAATTATGAGAAATTGATAGTTGAAGTTAAAATATATTTTAATTTTGATAACGATAAGGAGTTTAATGAGAAGATATAATAAACCATATATGAATTCAAAAATAAATAAGATGATTATGAACTTTAAAGCATATTTCCAAAACACACAAATTTTGGTATTCAATGATTGTATATAACCTAAATATTTGATGGAAGTATTGGAATAAAAATTTTTAACATTTATTTAAGAATTTAAGGATAAGATGGATGATTAGCTAAATCAATCATCAAATCAAAATTAAGGAGAATGATCAGAGGGATAGACTTTTAAGGTTGAAGAAGATATTTAAATAAACAAACTTGGACTTAAACTATAACAAAATTTATTGTTTTTTATGATCTAAAATGGAAACTTTCATCTTCACTTACTCTTACTTGTTCTTCAAATAAAAAAATTGGAGTCAATATAAATTCTGATTCAGTTTATTATAACTTAATGGAGCTGATTAGAAAGGCAAAAATTACTTGATTTCCAAATATGTATTATCTGATTTAATATTGCTTAGGATTAGTTGGAACTAAAAACTTAAAAAATAGTAATCAAAAATAATCATATTATTATTTTTTTAAATTATAAAAAGCAATTATGAAAAGGAGACACTTTTAAAGACTGAAAATCTTATTGAATTTTAATACTTTTTGATGATTAGAATTAAATAATATATATTTTATAATTAGATATTGTAAGAATTCTTTCGACAATATTTTAAGATAAAAAAACCCATAGTAGAATCACAAAATGTCTGATATTTTAGAAAAAGTTATGAAGAAAAAAATAAAATTGTGTTTTTTAAACTAATAAATTATAGATGACCTTAATAGAATAATTTTGGTAATAGTAATATTAAAAATTAACTATTATAAATTAAAGATTGATAAATTCAACTGTGTAGCAATATTAAAATAAGTTATCAAAGAAGAGAGAATTTATTAGATAACTAAAATTTCAATTATAAATAGAAAAATAATTTATTGCCTAAGAATAAAATAGATTAATAATTTATTGAAGGAATAAGAAAAACTAAACATTAAAAAATTTCCTTCTTTATGCCAATAGGGCAAACATTTGAGGGTACTCACCTCAATTGATTAAGTATTTAGAATTCAATAATTTAGAAAATAATACCTAAAGGATAATGAAGATAAAGATTAGAATAAAAAATCTAATCAATATTTGTAACTTTGAATCATAAGTATAAATATTTTAATAATAATGAGGAATAGATAATTAAGTAATAATGGTATTTTCTACCTTTTAGATATTCGAGATTGTTCAAATTTTATTTATGGAGAAATACTAAATTTAAAAACATTATCCTTCTTAGATCTTAAGATTTTATTCTACATAGAGATTTTTTTGAAACCTGATTTGATTATGTTGCAATAAAGTCTCCAATAAATAGTAATTTGCAAATATTTATACAATAAAAGAGAAACCATCTTGTTAAAAGGTCAAGAAATACAATCAGTGGATATAAAAAAACTAATTATACGAAAATAAT